CGGGGAAGACAAATCTCGACCGCGAAATGCTCGGCAGACGCCAAAGCCACCTGTCGATACCAAAGCGGGCGAAAGGCGGCAGAACCGCCTCCCCATCCGCATTGAATTGTGATTGAATTGATGGCTAGGCAGGCCGAAGCTCAAATCTCGTCCCTTTGAGATTAAACCCATGGGACGAGCTTTTAGCTTCGGCCTGCCTAGCCATATATTCAATTAATCAGAATAGTTTAAGTAACAAGTGACCATCCACAGATCAGAACAACGCTTCAGATTTTCATATTTGTAGTCGTCCAGCAAGGAACCTATTACATATTTGTGGTAAAAATAATATCTGGCATAACAAGGCAAACGTGTTTTTGCAAGACCGAGTTTTGTACTGTATACTGGATACCAGCATGCACCACAGGGTCGTATGTAAAGCTAGCTTCCGTCAACTTGAAAATTATTCAGTGTTTGGATATAAATATGTACAGGCCTCTGCATCTGAAGTGGGTTCCGTTTCGGGGATTGGGTTTTATTTCTGGCCATAAACTGACGATTGTTGTGCAGGGTAATTCCCATCTGGGACTTCTGAATTCTAAGTCATGGAATTTACATAACGGCATGAGAAAGATGACTGGGTCCGATTTAATTAACATGATGAGTCAACTTAACAGTGGCTGTGTCCGCATTGCTACGTTCTCTCTCGGCTTACTCGTTCTCCCTCAGTTTGGGACCATTCTGGGGTTCAATTGCCATTGTAGCTATTTGAAATATAATCCATTTAAAACAGTGAACAAAGCAATAGTAATGGAGAGACGGTAACCAGATGTTGTAGCACAATTTATCATCACATTTTTTTTTTGGGGGGGGGAGGGGGTTAAACAGCGTATCCTCTAACCATCATTACATGGTGTTCTAAAACAGACAGGCAAACGTCATTCGCGTGAGTTTGAAACGTCGTGTGTGTGAGCTTTCAAATGGATTCGGCAGGATTTTGGTCGCCTATTCAGCTAGCCGCGGATTCAGCCGCGCATTCACCAAAAGAATAAAAACCTCTATATTACATGTGGCAAAAGGTGATCTATATTTTACAGAAAGATAACTTCATTATTTTCCATAATAAATGCCACATTATAGTATGATTTCACGCCATATCGAAATACACAACATAAGCAACCGTTGCATCAACCGTTTTTGAAATGTTGAATCAATGATTTAATTAAATCCCCTTAAAACTCTCAAAAATAACCTTCAGGGTGGAGCTTGAGGTGACTCGACAGTAAGGCCATGAGGCTTGAGAATTTTACACCCACTTATGATTTCTACCGACACGAACATTCTTCTGGAAATTGAAATAGTCAAGACCAAAAAAATCAGAGACAACGGTAAGACATCGACATCGTGCATGTGCTCCCATCCTGGTCATTAGTCTGCTCCATTACATATTGCGCTAATTAAAGTGACACTATGTCCTGAAATCCCCGAAAATTACTCGTTTTTGGATTCTTTACTTATCCAATTTCAACATCTTGAAAGCAAACCAACCTAATGTCTTACCGTTCCCGAGAAAAGACGAAAAACCCCGTTGCTTACATCGGGCACGACGGAGTATACGAATACGTGTTTCCTGTTGTTCTCAGTCAATGTATATGATATATTTTCGAAGTATAGAAGGTTGATTTTTGGAAAATATAAGAAAGCTACCGACAATGGAGCCTGATGGAGACACGCCGAGTCATGACATACATTTATTCCACGTATGACTTTACCGGGACACCGTACCCCCCGCAACCAACGGAAATAGGTCACGCTCGACGCGTGGAGGCGCTTCGCGAGGACGTCGGAGATCGTTCCGTTGTGTGAAAACTGCGAAGGTCGTCCAGTTTTTTATTGTTGTTTGCATATTGCCCATGAACTAAGGAAGGTAAATAGGACATCCATTGGTATCTTGCACTTGTTAATTTTTTTCAAAACAAAGAAAAAGCCCTATACCCGCGAAAACTGGTCTCTCGAGGATACATGCTGTGTCTGTCTGTACGTACAGCACCGTTCTCGCAAAAAACAGTGCCTGATCGCCAATTATCATAATATGGTTTCTTACACGTCCGCAAATAGCCAACACTCTACGGATGAAATCACAACTAGCACTCAAACAATTTTGGGGTCGCAAAAGTGGACCCCGAAAGTCGTTCTCGCACGCATAATACAGGAATAACACAAACACGCTCAGTTTTTAAAAGATACTTTGTGTGGATGTGTTCTACTTTTAAATGTTCTTTCCGATTAACATGATTTCGTTCAAAGCTTGTTTTGCAGCCCAATTGGGCTGTTCCAGGACGCATTGTCCCTTTAAAACGCGTTTACAGGTTAATAGAGATCACTGATCTCTATATAACGACTGAATAGCGGATAAAGAGCCGCACAATGAACGAATTTGACACCATATTGGTGAGACCGGTGAGACCGGCTGGTGATCGACAAAGGGCAAGCTGCCGTCTTTATAGACAGCATGATTTCTTTTGTAACATCGCGGTTCACTTAACTTATATTTTGACCACCACCACCGAAGCTTACAATTTTTCTAACGTCGGGGTTTACTTTTTGAATGCCGCAGTTCACTTTTTCAGCGTGTTTGGAAATAACAAGCACTACGGAAATGTGTCCTTTTAGAACATCATAATATGTGTACGTGACCAAAATGCGCGTCAACTGTTGATACAACGCGCGCGCGTAGTACATTCGTATTACGCGGCCATCTTCGTGAGACCGGGGGCGAATTGGTCAATATGCAAAGTCTACTGTGTGAATCATTGATATCCATATACACAGACCGGATAGGACATCGCGCCGTGTTTGTTCACGAATGCGCGGCCGAACAATGGCGGCGCGTTTACTGTCGGACGGGTAAACGCGCATTGTTCTTTCACTTTGTAAAATGGATTATCGAGTGAGATTTTTTCTTACAGGACGGAGTTTAAGCGCTCCTCCAAAACAGATCTTTGAAAAAAATAACTGAACGATGAAGAGTTACCCTCAATCCCTCCAAACAGCTTTTGCACATTCTTGATATACACTTTGTTATTATGCATTTTCGAAATTCAAGAACCCCCCATTTCTTTTTCGCTTATTTTTTTTAAATCCCTCCTCCTACCAAAAATGATTGTAAGTAAATTGCCATTTCATTTTGGCAAACTGGTTATAAGAGTGCACTGAATTACTCCATCAACGAAATGAATAATTGTACTTAATAATATGCTGAAATAACATCATTTTTTTTAAACTGAACACTCACATGAGAAATTGTATGGAGATTTTTTCAAATGAATATATTTTTATTAAAAACCCGAACACAAACCAAATATACGGAGCTTTTAAAGGGACATAGGTGAAAAAAAAAATTGAAAAAATCATCGTAAGAATGACAAAAATCTGCGTTCGAACGAACAAAAATCTGCGTTCGAACGAAAAAAATCTGCGTTCGAACGGAAAAAAATCTGCGTTCGAACGAAAAAAATCTGCGTTCGAACGAAACAAATCTGCGTTCGAACGAAAACAATCTGCGTTCAAGCGAAAAAAAATGCGTTCGAACGAAATCAATCTGCGTTCGAACGAAAACAATCTGCGTTCGAACGAAAACAATCTGCGTTCGAACGAAAACAATCTGCGTTCGAACGAAAACAATCTGCGTTCGAACGAAAACAATCTCCGTACTTGGGCTGCCGGCCGGAGACACAGACGCCATTGTTGACGACGTGATTAATTTAAAAGTTAATTCCAAGAATTGGTTATATTTTACACCAAAGGTGTCGTCATATATAGATAACGGGGAAAAAAATCAAGATTAACACCGTTTGTGTCATATTTAACACTCCAGGTTTGGCAGTGTGGAATGTACATACAGAATGTAGTATTTGGTTTGGTGCTTGATCGAAATGGAAGAAACAAATATGGGATAAGATAAAAAAAAAATATGGTTCTCATTAGGATTGAAACCCAGAACTCTTTGCAAGGGCCGTCACAGCCTGCACTATGAAATTAGAGAAGAAAAAAATATGGTCAGTGTTTTAACTGTGACAGAACTGATTGAGTGCCCCCCCCCCCACCCCCAAGAAAAACAGGCCCCAAGTGCCCCTGCAAATTATACCCCAATTATGAAACTGGTCTTGGTTTGGAATCCCGTTGGTGAACAGGTGCTTTTCTCTCCCATGTTTAGTTCGATAGTGATTGGGCACCACAATATTTCTGGCCTTTCCTGCAAAGTAGGGTCCTGAAAGGGTCCTGTTATTACACAAGTGTTAAAACCTTTAGCCAAACCACGAGTACTTTAAAGTAAAAAGCAATGTCAATTTGCAAAAGCTTTAGGCTTTAAAATAAATACCAATTACAAACTCACAAAAAGTCACCGAAAACCAATGATTTAATTTCATGTTTATAAGACCGCTTTTCTTATGTGAGTCTGTAAGGCTCATGCATAAAGAAAGCCCAAACAAACACGGATTAAGCCATTAGTAGATATACCAAATTGTTCAAAACATCTTTCGGGAAAACAACGAAAAGTTTTGTTCGTTCAAACGAAGAGTTTGTTCGTTCGAACGAAGATTTTGCTCGTTCGAGCGAAGATTTTGTTCGTTCGAGCGAAGATTTTGTTCGTTCGAGCGAAGATTTTTTTCGTTCGAACGAAGATTTTGTTCGTTCGAACGCAGATTTGTTTCGTTCGAACGAAGATTTTTTTTCGTTCGAACGAAGATTTTTTTTCGTTCGAACGAAGATTTTTTTCGTTCGAACGCAGATTTTTTCGTTCGAACGCAGATTTTTTTCGTCTGAACGCAGATTTTTCTCGTTCAAACGAAGATTGTTTTCTTTCTAACCAAGATGTTTTCAATTTGTTTTCCTCTATGTCCCTTTAAAAGCTTCGTACAATTAGAATCTAAAAGGTAAAAAAAAAATAATTTTACAAAGTAATCAGTAAAAACTTCTTCCCGTCCCTTGATTGATCAGGGAATGAGATCGTTCACCTGTTGTGATATTGTGTGAAAGGAGATGAATCACAAAACAAAATAATACTTTGTCAAAGAATAATGCAAGCTATGTTCGGTCTTGTTTATAATTAAATATTAAGCTGTATTTCTGAAAATAAATATAATTACTTGTTGGTGTAATGGGATTCGTTTTTATGAGTGAATATGAAGGTGTATATGGCTATAGCTAGTAATCTTATAATACGGCGTACACAACATAATTTCAAACCGTAAAAGTACTCATTGCTTTCTTCACCATACAAACTGTCAATAATGTGACAGTCATCCTGGGAGCTCATAAAAATACTTGTGTTGAACTCCACAGCTTCTTTCCAAAAACAAAATCAATCAATGTTAACAGTTCCACGTCGTAAGAATTGATTAAGTCAAACGCTCAGATGCCTATCACTTCGCATGTTCCATTCAGTGGATGATACAGTCGATTCCATCCCTCCGTGAAGTTCTCCATTTTCGTCCGTCTCGGATATAGTCCTGCAACTGGTGGTTTTTGCTATGGCTTTGCTGAAGTTTTTTGTTTGATATGAAGGTCAATCAGCCGGCTGTGCAGTAAGTTACCATAAACCATCTCCTCGGTTTCTCTTTATAAAGAAAAAGAATAGAAACATTTCGGTAGGCGTTTAGCCAAGGCAGACTTAATTCAATCAGATTTTGCAAATAAAACTTATAAAAGTTATTCGAATAAACTATTTAAAACAAGTCAACTTTTGTTCATTGCCATTGCCGGGTCAGTCATGCACGTTTAGGCCCAAGTCTTTAAAAAAAAATGATGTCGACCTGCAAGACAAGCCTAGATCGCATGGAATATGAACAGAATATAACGCTAGCTAACATTAAAGGTAGAGTCCATCCTTTGCAGCCATCCGAAAAGTAACTGGCGTAATTATTGTCGAAAAACTAACTTGGTTGAAAGATAGTCAGGAGACTAAACTCCCTGTGAAATTATTCTTTCTGGGAAGCTGTCATTTTGAAGTAATCAACGAAAGAAGGCATTTCCAACGGTGATTCTTAAGAAGCACCGTAGGAAAATTTAAATTAGTAGTTCGTTTTGTTATTCAGCGCAGCGCGCACAAGTATTCGAACGACGCACACGCGCGCGCGGTTGTTATAATTCGTCGGATCGGTGCGCGACGTCGCGTATAGTTGCAATTCAAAACAATTCAAAACATGATTCAGCAACTTTTGATTTGAAAATGAGATCTTAGAATGCTGTTTTTCTCGGAATGTACAGCTGAAGCTTAGCTGAAACTTCATCAGGTTAGTTGCTCAGTATCCTTCATTAGATTTTGAACTCTTTTGTTGCTTCAAACAAACAAAATGCACAAATTACAAATGATGGACTCTACCTTTAACGATATTATACTTGCTTTGTCATTCTAATGTTCATATTCCCCCATGCCATGTTGTAATTGTATACGCCTCGTTAAAAAAAACTTACTTGCGAATAATTGTCCTATTCTTCAACGCTCCTTACTTCCCCACTCCAGCAATCTAATGCTTCGCACACCTTGACTATACTCCTCATCGATTTTTATCAGTTCAGATCTCTGTTTCTTTTATTCTTTCAAAAATGAAAAAGAAACCGAAGAAAACCCAATTACATTTTTTAATCCTCCGTTCGAAAGTGTACACAACTCGAATGCTTTTTTTTTCTTTACCCTTTTAAAAGACGCGCGCGCGGACGCTGTTCGGATGGAGATCAATGGTGTGAATGGTGTATAACTATCCGCTATCCAGTCTTTATATAGAGATCAGTGATATATATAGAGATCAGTGGTTCTCCAACCTCGTCCCCAGGGTGTCGAGCAGTACGCGCCCACCACTACCTGCTCTCTCACCCTGGTATTGGATCATTTGCATGTGCAAGATTTTTGCACACGTATGCAAATGAGGAACAGTCTGGTGCCTGGATATGCGTTACACATTAGCGTTTGTTTTTGTATGCGGTGTCTGGGGTAAAAACAGAGTCAATTCGTAGCAGCGCGCGCGCGAGCACGGCGTGAGTTACGAAAACACGATTTTTGAAATCAAACTGTTGTACGATCTTATCCAGACAACATGCAGTATCATATTTCATATTAATATGAGCAAATTGGAAAGTAAATTAGTATTTTCGAGAAGGTGTGGACGAATGATCGCGAAAACACGTACTGCACGTTTTGAATAATAGCACCAAGTACGCGATAAAAATCCATTACTAGCCAATTGCGGCATCCAATCAGGATACAGGAAGAAAGTTTCCTATCCAGGGTTTACTATTGGAAACGCGGTTGGAAATAAAGTAAGCACTGGGGACGAGGTTGGTGGTTCTCGTAACACGACCACCGCTCCCTCAGTCTGGCTTCCAGACGCACAATTACAAAATTATAACATGGTCTGCAATATGGTGCCCGACTACATATAGTGGAAATATATGGGAGCCCAGAGAGGCCACGTAAAGATTATTCTCGATGGTAACCCCATCTTAAAACATGTTAAAATTGTGCAGAAGCAGGATTCCAGTCAAACCAGTGGGTTTGGAGGTTTTGAAACATCATCTTACATTGAAAAACATGGTCTGCAATATGGTGCCCGACTACATATAGTGCAAAATATATGGGAGCCCAGAGAGGCCAGGCCACATAAAGACTATTCTCGATGGTAACCCCATCTTAAAACATGTTAAAATTGTGCAGAAGCAGGATTCCAGTCAAACCAGTGAGTTTGGAGGTTTTGAAACATCATCTTACATTGAAAACAAAACCTTTTAAGTTTGCCGACGCGCGTGGCTACAGCGATGCGTGCGCAGACCACTAACCGGAGACTTTCAAGTGTTTTTACCTTTACTGTCAGGTTCGTTGTCTCGTGTCTCGTGTCGCAGGGTGATTCAGATTAGACGTCTCACGGGCGCAGGTTGGTTGGATACTGCTCGTTGGACATCTCCCTCTGCAAAGAGGACACAACAAAAGTCCCTTTTCAGCACCCATTTAGAGTCAAAATGGTGTAGGAATGAACAATGTAAAGTGACATACACCCTTTTGCCAAGTTTACATTTTTAACTTTGCTTAAGCTGTTAGCAGTCAAAGAGAAGTAACATTTTTAAAACCAGCATTTGCCAGCATAGGGCCGTACGGTTAGCAGCGTCGCGGGCCCCGGTCAAGTTCCTTGCGTTGCCTGGTGTTTTTTATGTATATGTTCGCCACAAAAAAAACAGTCCTCTTCTCTTTTCTTTCCTTGTGCATTTTAACCCTTGTTTTAACATCCTGAAACGATAATTACAAATTTACTTGAATTTTGAAATTGTTAACTTTATTGTTTACCCAAAAAAGCCGTAAAACAACGCCAGAAGACCATGGGACTACTGCTTCACCTCGACCTGTAAACGTGGCTACAAAAAAAGTACAATTCATGAAATTAATCATAGTCATGCTCCGTTCATAAAACAAAAACCTCTGGACTTAACGAAATTTTCGGGATCCCGGTCGAAAACAAAATTCACTGGTCCCGAAATTTAACGAGCACTATGATCATTTTCAGTACCTAATTCAGACTTTATTCAAGAAATTCCAGTGGCAGGGAATTTGTCATTCGATCAAAGGAAGTTCTAGGGAAAATGGAGGCCTGTCACATTAATCAGCACTAACGTAAGGAAAACTACGCGGTCCTTTTTCTACGCATTTACCTTCAATTTGTGTGTGACAACGCGTGGGCGTATGCTGCGCAGATAATGGAGGGTCGAGGATACATTTGAACGGATCTACGGTTCTTCAAGATTAGCAATGGCCAAATGGTCCAAAACAGTCTTCCCTATAAATCATTGACAAAACATATCTCTATTATTTCTTGTGCAATTTCAACATATCTCGAAAGAAAAGAAGACTCTTGCCGTACAAAATGTACAGTGCATGATCGGCGCTCTATCCGTTAATTTGGCTGAAATCCGATCTCGTGTTTCGCACGGTACTCTTCGGACAAACTGCATGGCTACGGAGGATTCTTATTCCTCCATGCTGACACCCGGACGGGAAAGCTGAAAATTTATTGCAAACTAATGTGGTGTGATTACAGCTAGCGACTGACACAATTATAGGCATAGGTTTGCCTTGGCCTAGTGCGTTTGCTACCCGTACACGTATCAACAACGAATTATTTTGAAATTCCAACACCGTTTACCGGTGTCAAAATCTACGGTCCCAGCGGCCGGGCCAGCGGCAAAAGTACACCCGTGAATTTCCAGCCAGCTTTACATAGCGCGTGTCACGGTGATGCGATGTGCATGTGATCGTGAACGATCGAACGATGTTGATGTAACGCAGACATTTCTTACTATGGTTGGCCGTTAGGGCAAACACAAAAGAATGATCCCCGTTCTATAAATGAAATGATGTGTAACTATCAAAACACTGAATAATCAATAGAAAGTACCAAAAAGTCAATGGAGATATCTTCCTATTAAATTCTGAACTTGCCCATTAGAATTTCGGGGGTAAAAGCTGTTGCCAACTACGGTTGAATTTATGGAGCATGTGCCTGCCCATACAAAATGTCGCTCAGTGTAATTGTAAACAAAGTCGTGTCGTTGCGCTGAGTGATTTGCAAAACGTTTCGCTGGAACTACGCTGCATCGGCAGTCATGTTTATTACGTCACGATTTACTATGTTTTGTTTGCTGCCGCCAAGCGACGACTTTTACACAAATTGCATGTTCGGGTCGAAACAGGACCTGAAAAACAGCTCTCAAATATACCCTTTGTATTCATTTCATGACAGAAACAATAGTCGTTTTTATTTCATCACACCCTAGGCTACATATACCCGAAAATGACGGAAATGTCTTCGAGCATTCCACAACCTCTTTGAGGTTGAAATCACCCATTGTGTAACACAGCTTTCCCTCCTTTGTTATCTTATCTAGGCAGGTACCAAAAGCCTCGTTAAGGTTGTCAAGTGAAGAACCAGAAGCATTTCCCACAACAAGATTGCTAGCTTTGTCACGCTGAATTTCGATAAAAACTGTCTCAAAGCCATTATGAGAAGGCATGAGGTCTTCACGGATCCGAAAATTCAGTGAGTTCTTGACAAACATGGCTACCCCTCCACCAGGTCTATCGGAACGTGAGGAATGAACTAGACGGAAATTATCCATGTGAACATAGGGCGGAGGGATTGTTTGAAACCAAGCTTCAGTGAACCCGTAGATGGAGAAAGAGTGGTTTAGACTAGCCAAGTAATCTTTTATGTCGAAGAAATGTCTACAGAGACTCCTGAAATTCACGTGAAAGATGGAGAAGATACCTGGTGTAGAGATATTTAAATCATTAAATTCAGTAGACTCCAAATAGGCACATTGTTCATCATTAAAAACATCATCATCAGAAGAAGAAATATTGTCAACAAAGTCAGCTAGGGTCATTGGACGAAAGACAAACAATACAATACGATAGGCAAAACAAAAGCTTAACTTAAGTAAACAGTATGTAAAGTAAACAGTATGTAAAGGCGAAAGGAGAAACGGGAAAAAAATGCAAGTCAATGGGGGACTAACAAATAAAGTAAATGAAATACTGAACTAAAGTGTACTAAAGCCAAATAAAATAACAGTAAGCATGCATGACTAACGGGTTTAGGACAAAACATGTAAGTGGAGAAGGAACCCAAGCATGAACAAACCAGTAACAATAATTTAACCAATCACAATGAGATTAAGACGCAAAACAAATACATCGAAGCAATCAATTTCAAGCGAATGAATGTAATGGATAAAAAGGTCGATGTGCAAATCATAATGGATGGTGTATGCGATGATTTGCAGCAAACATAACATAAACAGCACATAGATGGACAGTGGAAGCATGCAGATTGATGTGATGCTTAACGGTAGAAGTCAGCTAGTGCGCCGCCTGCACCTCTCTACCTACCGGCTACGAACCTGTACTTCCTTCCCTCCTTGTACGCTGCGGAGGCTTGTGTAGACCATTTTCTCTTCTCTTGCAGGTCGGCTCTGGTCAGGTCTTCGACTTGTCTGGACTTGTCGCTGTTGCTGGAGGATCTTGATTTTGTCCTGATAGCAGTTCAGCTTGATAAGAAGGTGCTGTGGTCTGCCGTCCATCTTTGGGTCATTACGGTGAGCTCGTTCCACCTTTGCATCAGGCATCTTGAATTTCTCCTTGAAGAGATTGTGAGCGAGAGCCAGGCAGTCTTCACCTTTCTGCTGTGGGAAGCCGATAACCCGAAGATTATTTCTCCGAGAGAAGCGTTCCAGCTTGTTTAGCTGCTCGGCATGGTCGGCCATGGTTTTCTCAGCCTTGGCAACCACTGCAGTTATCCGGTCAAGTTCTTTTATCTTCAACTCCAAGCCGTCAATACGCTTACTCTGGAATACAATGGAGTCATTGATATTCTGTTCCAGCCTACGTATGCAGTTACGTAACTCTTTTTGTCCTGATTGAATCTCTGTCAGGGTTTGAAGGACAAGGTGTTCAAACTCGTTGGTGTCGGAAACGGACTGCTCTGTGCTTGGGTTTGCAGACTGTGGCGATAACGTTGGTGGTGATCCAGGTCGCTCACTGATTTTGTCGTTTTCTTTCGTCCAGCAGGTATGATTTCTCACCAAACGATCCTCAAGGCTTGAGTATGTCCTTATTGACAATTGGTATAATATCTACGTATGCATAGGCTAGGATAACGAAAATACTAAGGATTTTTTACACGGAGACCCCAAAAAGCTCGTGTCTTACTTTGTCGCCATGTTCTACTGGCGACATTGAGACAAGGATGACCGAACGTAAATAGATATATTATTAGCACTTTGACTCACCGTAGGTAAAATGTTGGGGAAAACCATTGCACTATCAACAATATGGGCCGGGTACCCATAAAACGGGATGAATAGGAACAAAGAGGTGAATAGGGACACACATCTGAAATATATGTACCACATGCATCCAGCTGCCCAGCCATGACCCACGTGATGGGAAACAACTAACATGTACCCCTGCGTGAAAGAAAATCGGATGTCTTGGAAAACGTCTCAAATCCTAATGTTGTCAAAACTTTGCATCTTGGGATTTTCTTGAGAGAACCATCTGATTTCACATCAAGACCTCACAAATATGGTCTTGTATGTAAGGTTTGAGCTGGGAAGCATTTGAAGTTGTGCTTATATTTTGTCCTTTCTTTTAAGTTTTATTTTAACGTTTTTGCAAAACAACCGTGGTAAAAAAGAGACAGGATGCCACGTGACTTTAAACCAAAGCCTGTGGCCAAAAGATATATGAAGAGCACAGTAAAGATGAGAGTTGAGCCACAGGAAAGCATAAGAACAGTATGGCATCCCCAAAACAGTCATTTTCGGGCACCTCAAGCACCCTGACACTCTTTCCATAGGTGTACAGACGATTTTTGACAAGACCTTTGAGGATCATCTCCTAAGGGAATCCAGACTAGTGCCGAATGGGACTATATATCCATTAGGCACTCGAGAGTTGAGGCATCTCGTCAAAGGTTACTTGGACAAAAAAACTTTGAAACCTGTTCAAATGTAGGGCCGCAGTGAATAGGGTCAAGCAGAACCGATTCCAAAACCATTCAATGCCCGGTATTGAATGGGTGAATTCTGTCCCTCGTGAACGGTCACGAGATGCTTGGTCTAGATAAGCTATCAATGAATACTTCGACAACCTGGTCAAGACTTTAAACGATATACCCCAAGTAAAATGGTGAATTATGATGAGACCAATCTGTCAGATGACCCTGTTAATAAAGATGGAGCTTTGTCATTACAATTTCTGATAAAAATCGTTAAAATACTTCTACAAGCATTGTGTTGTTTAAAAAAAAAAGCCCATGTAGTCCCTATTCCCCTCAGCTGAGGGTACACTGGGAGCAGTTAAGTGTTTCGTTCTGTTCCTAATCACCCCCAACATCGAGGTGATTCCCCAACATCGGGGTGAATAAGAACGGTCGAATAAAATAAAAATCCAACGTTGATGGGATTTTTTTTTTTTTTTTTTTTTTTTTTGCTGTCAATCCAAAGTTAACATGGGTGGACATTAAATAGCACCAAAATCTGTATCACTGGCCATGTGTAAAAATTGCGATACACTTGTAAGAAAACTTTACAACTAGATTATTCAGCTATACTAGTGTAATATACTCCCTCTTGCTGGGCCTCAGTAAGGAGTGAAACTCTACCTAGTCTTTTAAATCATAAAGAGAGAAACTTCAATATACATCTACAGCAGTTGAAAGAGGTAAAGTTGTTTCCTGCTTTACGCTTGAATAATTGTGCATGCCTTTGTTAGCAACAATGGATCCATTTCCTTGTGACGATGTTGTCATGGGGTAACAAATAAATCTGGGAATTTCCCTTAGACCTTCGTCTGAGTTCATTTTCTACATTGTCCCAATCCACCCCGTTTAACGGCATTCAATTTATTTCTCATAAACCAATTGTACGTGCTATGTGGCTAATGCAGGTGCATATTATGGCCCTTGATAACAGTTCAAATTACTGAAATGGCTACCATGCTGAAATAAAGTAGTACACTTCGAAAGATATTACTTAATTTTGTAATCAGGATGACCGTTTTAGCCGATTTTCGGGTTACTTTGACAGAACTTTAGTAAAAAAAAACAAGTTTGACAGAAAATTTGACAGAATGGATTTTTTTTGCAAATTTCTGGCAGAATTCTACACAAATGGTTATTTGACAGACTAACAGCAAATTTGAACAAAAAAGTGTTCATATTGTAAAAAAAAAAGCTTCAGTCCTTTCATACAAACTCTTGCATAATGGGACAGGTTGGCTGGTCTAGGTGCTGAGGTTCACTAAGAAACGAGCTTCGTCGTGGCCGAATCCGCGCTTTGCCCAAAATTTACCAATAATTTCACAACATCTCTAAGTGACTAGATTGTTTATTATGTAATATTAATGAATATTAATAACGGAAAAACTACCGATCTGCATGTGATTTTAAGGGTTTATAGTGTATTTCGAGTAACTCTGGGAATTTGGCAGATTGTTTTTATAAATATGACAGATTTTTGATGCGCATTTAGCAGAATTTGGCTCTGACCTTACGGTCACCGTGTCTGTAATTAGGACTTGTTTGACAAAAAAACGTTTTAGGCAAACAGGAAGTTTGTTAACTTTCATGTTGTAGTTTATGTTGCATGTTACCCCGTTGCTCAAAAGGGAGTGAATTCGAAGCATTTACAATTTCTGTGGGACACGGACCCACAGGGCCGGGTGTCTGACGATTGCACCATTCTGCTTGTCTTTCCGAGCATGACGTCAGTTTCACTATATATGAAGTGGACCAGCTCCCACGTCAATTAAGGGGGAAGGAAGGAGGAACGGTCATCTATTTAAAGTGGACGAGTGTTCTAACAAAATATACAATTTGAATTATGATGATGTGACGACTGTGATTTCCTAACTACAATACATTTATTCTTACATTACAACACTAGAAGTATTCAAGCCTGTGTGCACAATAAAATGTCAAAATAAATACAAAGTGTGTGTCAAAGTTCAACACATGTCTGTATAGGTATATACGCTACACATCAAAGTACAAACCTAAAATGCAACGAATCATGTCTCAACTCTCATCCCGAAAATACACAATTTCCCTCACAAAATGAAGATAAAACAGAGCAATACTCACAGAGAATCTTCTATGAAATTAACCTATCACAGTGATATATCTCAGGAGCATGGCAGGAGCCATGCTCCCTACAAAAACGAGAGAATTTTCGAGACAAAATATATGTTGGTTTTCTCTGTTCGAAGCCCACAGGAGAAAACGTGTTACAAGTTGCCTTTGCGCGGTAAGCACAAAAGTCACACTTTGCAAATCACCTTGCCAAACTTTGGACGAACAACAACTGAGGGCGCACTTGGTCTCCCTTCATATATAGGGGTTGGGCAAAAAGGGGTTTTATCAACTGTGAGCCTTCTCCTTTGATAGTAACAGTGGATCCGTTCTTGTCAATTCTGCACTGTACACTATAATTCAGTTTTGCATGAATTTCAGGCATGCAACTTTTCCTCGGATCTGCTGATGTCCTCTTTTTTATTCTCATTTTATTTTGCCTTTCAAAATTGAACAACACAAAGTATTCCGAATTTTGCAATTTCCTCTTTTTTGTGAATTTACAGTTGTATGCCTGACATTTAGTTAGTGGAAGAGATTAAAGCATGACCTATTAGGCGAGCCATATACGAACTGTATTGACGACTCAATCGGAATCCCTTTTGTCGTCACGGTGAGTAGAATGGGCGTAAATGCCACCCATTTGTGAGACATGTAAAACCTGAAACAACGTTTATACTGGGTGCACATTATCTTTGTTTTTATCCTCATTAAATTACAGATGGCCCCGCATTGATGATTCATGTAAGCGTTGCCATTTGTGACTGTTTGTAAGGGATGGATGGTCCTTTTCCCCCTTGGCCCCTACGTTTGAGTATTAAGAAGACATTGAGTCTGTCTCGCAATTCCACAGGGAGATGAAGCCCTATGCTAAGATATACATGTGGTAGAGTCAGTTAAGGCTTGGCAAGTTGGCATTACCAGACATATGATACTCCAAGAAGGCTTCTCTTTGCGGTAATAAATCTTATCAACAGTGAAGTTATTCTTCTAATTAATACCAAATTAACTTCACACTTCACAAGAAGAAATTTCCTGCATAAAGTCTTTTCACAATTGTGGGTGACTCTACTTTTATTTTCCTTTGTAGGCACCAAACTCTACCATCGGGAGGGTGGCGGGGGGGCAATAAAGGGCAACATTTTCCTACCGTGGGAAGTGAGAAAGGGGGTGGGGCTGAATCCTACGTCACTAGACGGCTGTGCATGTGGTTGTCCAACATTTGATTTATTGGCACGATTAATTCCCTTCCAGACAGTTTCTTTTGTTAAAGGTACAATCAGCAAGTAATGAGTATTGACATTGCGGCTCGGATACGGAGCATGAGTGGGTATGAAGAGAGGGAAAACATGGGGGAGATGCCCCTCCCTCCACCCACTGCTGTTCTTGAGGTTTATAGCACGATGCACAAGAACGAAGGTTGCCAAAATATTTCAAGTTTTTCTTGCACAACGTTAACTGCCATGTCTTTATATCCAAAACAGTAATGGTCTGCTGAACTCCTGAGTCAACTAATAGACCTGAGACATAATGACGGCACGCTTTGTTAACATGTGCACTTTCCTTTCGGAGCTCGGTGGCTCTCGTGCCCACCTGGCTCCTATAGAGAAGTGGACATGTAAGTAAAGCATGACGTCATCAGTGCTATTAATGACTGCAGTAGTTTCGTGTACACAGACCTACATATACACCCTTTTAAACTTGTGTGACTGAATGTTTTGATTGATCCAATAAACTGGGCTTGCCAATTTAAAATGTTAAGCTCCAAGATGCTCCATTTGAAGCTACTTTGGAATTGTATTATTAGGCGACAGAAAGTTTTTCAACGTTCAGAGAGTGAGCGAAAGTGCCGTCCAATTGGAGTCCTGGGCTCCTGGGTTTTACACAACAGGTTGGTGATAACTTTGGAAAAATATTTCAGTTTCATTGGTGGATATCGAGTGGGTGCGGCACAAAACAATCAATTGCACATTTAACATGCACATTTCGATACCAAAGCCGTAATATATAACATTTTGCTTGCGAGGGTTGAAATACAAAGATATACATCTATATATATAAGAGAGAGTTTAACTCGGCCTCCGAGACGATGTTTGCTCATGAAAGGATCCCAGACCGCGGACTCCCGCGGCGCCAAAATCGCTCCACGTCTGTGGAAAAATGCGGAGGGTGTCTTCCGCCGGGTCATACACTTCGGGTCGTCCTGATTTTCCGGTACGGACCGGCGATCCGTTTCGTCTATTTTTCGTGACTGCGTTTTGCGCAGGCATTTGCCGTCGTGTGCGCTTTCACGTTGACTGCCTGGCCGCCCCCTGTGCTGGCTTCTCTGCGTGTCTAGACTGTGCGAGGTCAGCGGCTTCGACGTAGGGGTTCCGTTTACGTGTTCTACTCGGCCCTTCTGCAAAAGCGTTCACCAAATTGTGGATGGGGTGACCTTGGTAAAATATTTTTTCTCCATGGTGCGTGGCCACCAAGTGTCCCTATTCTTTCATATGCTTCGCTTGCCGCCCCTGCGCTGAGTGCAACGAATACTCAGAATGACTACACATTTAGTATATGCCTTGCGCGGTCTGACCAATCGAAAGTCTACACTGCGTAGTATTTCCGGGCTATGCAAAACTGTCGATGGCAACGCGTACTGCAGCCTGCTCCACACCCTGGAAACGAGGTTGGGTCTACGGTGCTCACTATTTGAAGCCCAAACGTGTGACGTCGCGTGATAGAGTGCTGTTGCTTCCATAATGTGTTTACAGCTCCATGCTTCCACTACCAAGGCTGAGCGTTGTGAGTCCGCTGCCCGCCACGTATAATTCAGTGTCGTGTTATAATTTCGGGGGCCTGTTTGGGGTCAACGAAGGATCGATGCATTGCTTCAAATATCGCGATCTTAAACGAAGTCACAAAAAAATCGACGAAAAAGTGTCCGACCCGGCGGAAGACACCCACATTTTTCCACGGACGTGAAGCCGCGGTCTCGGATCCTTTCAGAAGCAAACATTTCTCGGAGGCCGAGTAAAACTTGCTCTTATATATAGATGGTTGAACCAACTTGAATAAAAGTTGAATCGCAAACGGTCTCGCAAATTGTAAGAAGTTCAAGTTTACGTTTGTTGAAGAGTCCAATACTGAAACTTAATTATGACCTTCCTCCATGATTCAGACCGTTTGTAATTTGTTGGTAACACTCAACATTTTCATTTTAAACGACACCTTCACGTTTTATTGCATTATGATTTAATTGTCAAACTGCACAACCAGCCTTCGCCTGTGTACTACAGTAACCTTTTCACTACGTTTTCCAAATGCGACTGCCTCACAAAAAGCCAATTTAACAGACCAACGGCAACATTTACAGACAGTTGCCATGCATGGTACATAATTATCATGTGCGTAAATCGACGGGGGACAGGGGGAACCTCCCCCCCCCCCCCCCCCCCCCCCACACACACACACACACACACACACATTTTGAGGGGGGGACATTGTTTGGTCCCCCCCCCCCACATACTTTTTCTTCCCCGAATAAAAATATTGTAGCCTACAATAATGATTCTATTGCTCAGAATACATGTAGCTGATTCAATTACTCAAAACTCAAAACTTTCACAGATGATCTTTTGCTTAAATTGGTTTTAGTGATCAGAAATTGCCTCAGATCACACCACAGACATTGCTATTCTTTAACTGTATGTCTCCCCAACTATATCCCCCATTTACATTTAACTCCCCACATGTTCATCCCCAACACTACGCCCTACCCGATCTATGATCGGGTAAACCAGCTTGTCCAACTATAATTCCAGGAATTCCAGGGTGTGCGTTTGTATGATGCCTGTGTCATACGCATGCACACAATACGCGGGATTCATGTATTTTCCGAAAGCATTTTCAAAGCGGCGGGGCCGGGATATATGCGTAGTGTATGTCTGCCTGCTATTTGGATTTGGGCAGATGGTGCCATTTGTCTACATTCAGTCCATATATTCAATAGCTATGTACGTTGTTCCATCGTTTCTTTTTTTCTCGAAAGTCTACCAAAGTGGAATTCTCCTTTAATTAACCTTTCCAAAGGTACTTCACTTGATTCGGAATAAATTGTCAAAGACGATGAAAAGTCCCAATAATCAACGTTAATTTCTTTGCGATTGAGACACCGATGAACATGACAATCAAAGGTAATGTTTCGAGAGTATTTTCCCAAGAAGTGTCTTGCCGAAAAGCTCACATTCTTTTCTGCTACTAAATTATCGGTTTTTTTTCTGTCGATTTATTAATATATATCTCGAATACCAACAACTGATTTGTAATATTAAGTGATTGAAAAGACGGCCTGCTGTGAGCTGTTTTTATGCAAAACGAGCAAGCGCATAAACAATATGGCGCAATTAGAAAACAGCGGTGGAGAAACGTGTGTTTTTGAAGTTGTTAATTCAAGTTGAATTATAAGCTGCCTGGATAATCCCTTGCCCTTCTTCGACTTATAGTCAGCCTTTTACAGGGCGAAAATAAAAGCGAAACTCTACCTAGTCATTTAAATCATGAAGAGAAAAAAACTTGACAGCAAATTGAAAGAGGTAAAGTTGTTTCCTGCTTTACGCTTTAATCATTTTGCATGCCTTTTGTTGACAACAATGGACATATTTCCCTGTGTCGCTGTTGTCATGGGATAAAAAATAAACCTAGGAATTTCCCTTGGACCTTCGTCCGAGTTCACCACGTATCTGTTCAAGACCTGCAAGAGGTACTCTGGATTGAAACAGTGAACGTTTTTATTCTGATTTTTAATACAGTTTGAAAGAAAATATATATTTAAGATCGATATTACTCTGCAGTTTCTACTAGTGTAATATAGCTCCTTCATGCTGGACCGCAGTTTGGAGCGAAACTCTACTTAGTCATTTAAATCATATAGAGAAAACTTCAATATACAGCAATTGTAAGGGGTAAAGTTGTTTACTTCTTTACGCTCCAATAATTGTGCATGCCTTTTGTTAGCAACAATGGCTCCATTTCCATGTGACGATGCTGTCATTGGGTAAAAAACAAACCTGGGAATTTCCGCTGGACCTCCGTCGAGTTCATTACCACGTAGCTGATCAAGACCTGTATTTAACAAGTGCTCTCGATTGAAACAGTCAGTGTTTTTATTCTGATTTTTAATACAGTTGAAAGAAAAGTGAGATTTAAGATCGATGCACACTGCAATGTAAAGCCAACCATATTTGAAGCCAGACGGTCTACGCAGTACGCGGCATTCCGCGTGTATACAGGCATGGAGCGTGGTTGGTACATGCAATTCATTTGAGGCTTGACTTAATTGTATGTATAGCCTCAAGCATAAACATCTCTATCTGGCAGGCGGGGAGGGCGGCGGTCAAATGAACGCTAATTTGTTGTGCCGTGCTCTCTGATGGGCAGTCAAGACGAAAGTGAAGCATATATTATACGCCTCCATATGAGTCTCAGACGTTTATTGTTATAGAAGCAGTGGACTACAAAACCCATAACAATAGTTCAGTTTGCCCCTTGCGAGTTTTACTAAAGACTGTTATGTAATCTCCCAGACAGTTCAGTTATACCCTTGCAGCTTAAAGACTAATAATTATGTATGGAATTCACCCACTGGAAAAGAAGGTACTCGATCGTGTTCCATAAATAAGATTAATACTAGATCTAGATTAATCTCTTCTATAAGATGGAATTTTGAGTCGAGGTGATAGAAATCAAAACTATAGTTGTTTCCTGCTTTACTCTTCAATAAGTTTGCAGGTCTGTTATTAGCAACAATGGATCATGTTTGTCATGATGTTGTCATTGACTACAAAATAAATCTGGGAATTTCCCTTGGCCCCCGTCCGACTTTTACCATGCAGCTCTTCGAGACCTGCAACAAATGATCTCGACTGAAACTGGAAGTGCTTTTGTTCAGATTTATTTAAGACAGTACGTTGAAAGTAAATCGAGAATTAAAATCAATAACACACTGCGGTGTGAACCAAACCATACTTGAAATCAGGCGGTCTATGCAACACCCGGCGTACTGCGTGTATATAGGCATGGAGCGGGGTTGGTACATGCAGTTAATTTTAGGTCTGATGATGTTGCACTATGCGACTCTTATCTTGACGGTTCATGCAAGCAAGGAAGCGTGTGAGGTGTGTGAGTGTAGCGACCACGGGACTCGCATAGGCTGCAGTGATAGAGGTCTGATGGAGTTACCGAAGGGGATACCAAACGACACCAAAGTCCTGTAAGTGAAACAATTATTATTGCTAGCACTACAACGTCCTTGTTTTACCTTTCTGACTGACTCCCCCCCCCCCAAAAAAAAATGACTCCCTGTCTCGTTTTTCTCTACCCCCGTTTTCCCACAAGAACATCATAGGAAAGAGAAAACCGGAGACAATTTTGGTAAACAAAAAGCCAAAGAGAAGAATCGAATCAATCTTGTACTGTACCTTAAATTGAAATCTTTCACTGTACATTAAAATGAAACTTTTACTGTACAATACAAAGACTGGAGAACCACTGAAATGGCCTTAAACTGCAAAAATATATATTCGTATACGTATGAAATAGATTTGAACAGGGACCTCAGATGATGGTCCCCGTCCCCGTTATTCGATTTTTTTTCCACGGTCGATATATCTAAGCACGCAAATTTATGCGACCCTGCGGCCCAGCCAATCGGAGTCGACTAAATTGTGACGTCATTACATTTCGAAATCTGGCTAAAGTTGTTATTTTTCATTTCAAATGCAGTGTTTTTTTTATTTGTAATACAACAATGGCTGGGCATAGATCTATTGGACAAGCTTGGCACTGTGTAAGATAATACACCTCGCATGACCGCTGCCTGCCTTTGCTCAATTCACAGTACATAATTGTCGTGCTCGGGTTTTATTTATCGATGTCTATGACGCAACAACGGGTAAATAACCAAATACCCTATATAGAAAGCGCCCATTGATTGGTCAAGATCTAGAGGTCAAAAGGGATTTGTCTTCCATCATTAATCAGCAAATCTGATCATAGACTACCCCCTCCCCCAAACCCCCCCCCAAAAAAAAAAAAAATCCCCCCCCCCCCTTCACCGCGACTGCTGACTGACTGACTGCTCCTGGAAAGCTGGATGGTGGTTTCAGATAGGATTATCCTGCAACAATGAAGCAGCCAAGAGTCTTTTAGTATCTTTCTGACTGACTGACTGACTGCTTCTTGTGAGACGGGAAGTGCAATCATGTAACGACGATGAATGCGCTTCAACCCCTAGGTGTAGACCAGATGGATAAAAACACAGCAGTGAATAGCCATTCACAATCAATTGAATAGTATGTTGTGATCTTGTGCCAGCTTTACTAGGGTTGCTTTGTCTTGTTTATTTTGAGTTGATTTCATTGCATAATTGATTACAACAAAGCAAGCATTTCTTGAAATAAAAAGCTCGTATAACTTTCTTTTTTTCCAAATTCAACTTCGACACTACAGGTTTATGTCAAGTTGTGCTTAAAACATTTCTCTTGAACTTTCATCCCGAAAATGATTCAGTTGAGGAAGGAATTTCGCATTAATATACAATATGCGCTAATATCGGCCTATAATAAAGCCTTGAATGCACAATGTATATTTTCAGAAACCTTGCCGAGAATGTCTTGAAGGAGATACCTAAGAATGGTTTCATGGACCTTCCGCACCTTATTTTGCTGTAAGTACTTTGCAAGGCTTATTGTTCTATTGGGCGACATGCCATGAAGCAAACAACGCCCTTGGCCTTCTGTACAAAATAATATTTTTATTTAGCACTTCAATTGCCTAGAAGAAACATGCTATCAACACCGTTTCGTTTGTTTTGAATTGACCTGTTCTCAGCTTAGTTTTACACGGCAGTAAGTACATACACTTACTGACATGAAAAGAATCATTACAGCAAGCCACATGAGAATGGATCCAGATATATTGGACATTTCACATCATTTTTTTTATTGAGTTACACATGTATACCCGATCTCTTTGAAATATAATTAGTACTGATTGCAAAGTGTCAATTTGTACGTATTTTTTTAAGAAACAAATTCCACTTTATTCCAACCTCGTCTAAAAGAGTAACTTTATTTTCAATCTTGTTTCCCGGAAAAAATATTTTCGGAAACTTTTTTTCCCCTGTATATTGATTCCACACAGCAACGGCAGGTAATGTTTGCTGTGAATTATCACGTTCACGCCACCTCATCAAGAGCCCCCATTTCCATTTTGCTTATTTTTATGTTGTGCTGCCGTTTTTACCGCGGGCACGACCCTAAAAAGGTAAATTTGCGATGGCGCCATTTTCCTGCATGAATATGAACATCTCTGCCAAGTTTCACGGTTTTATGCAAAGGTGCAAAATTCATCGATATTTTGTTCCATATCCGCTGGACTAATAATGGTTGGATAAGATTGCTACTTTTTACTTTAAAAGGAACTGTAAGCACAAGCAGGCACCAGATTATTACTTATTTGCATATGTGTGCATAGCCTTGGTCAAGGCGTTGTCCCTATGGTAATCGGCGGCATATCTTTGCCGCACACTTCAAACAGAACAACGAAGACTTAATTATATAATAGACTTAATTAAAATATTCTCCAGAAACCATGAGAAAACGTAGCGCGACACTATTCTACCGACTGCCGTTGACCAAACAAATTGGCCAACAAAAACATCAGATTTACCTCAAAACGGCCTCCAAATTACTAGATACGCCTCCTGAAATACAAGGAGAGATCGATGATTAAAATCGAGGAACTAAAGATTGCTTACGTGTTGGATGCAAAGTAAAATTTCCCATTCCGAGAGCTCCCCTCTCGATCGATCGTGAACACGCTAAATTTCCGGGAACTAGGGCAGCTATCAGCGGAAACCAGTTCAAGCTAGGTCCCGACCCCGTATCATCGTTCAAAAGCAATTAGTGTACAAACGAGATCCAGTCTGCTCATTATCATAATCAATGCATCGCCCTCGGTAACGGAATCGCACTGGGACCATCAGATGAACGCTGGGCACGCACGTCCACATCGCAGTGTTCAACACGAGTTGGAAATTTAACGTGTTGACGATCGCGATGGAAGTTCTCGGAATTGAACGGGAAATTTCACTTTTCATCCGACTCGTAAGCAAACTTTACTACCTCTATTTTAATCATCGATCACTCCTTGTACCTCAGGAGGCGTATCTAGTAATTTGGAGGCCTTTTTAAGGTAAATCTGATGTTTTTGTTGGCCAATGTTGGTTTTCTGGGGGTCAACGGCAGTCGGCAGAATAGTGTCGCGCGAAATTTCATATTTTTGTCCTCGTTGTTCTGTTTGAAGTTGATTATTAGCTTCATGAACGTCTGCTGCATCGTATGAGGTACGATGGAATCTGGGTCGGAGAAATATAGGGAAAATAACCGTTTTTATAATGCACTGGGGATGTACAGTCCGGGACTTCGGGATTCTTACGACCCGGTGATTGTAACGTAGTTTTGACTCGAGCTCTAATGCGATAGGCATTATAGCTGGAGTTACTCAAGCTAAGTAACTATAGGCAATATTGAGTGAACATGTTTATTTTTCTCAGAACCTTTTTTTTACGAGTGTTTGCTCGTAGAAGGTACAATTTTGAAACGTACTTCTCAAAGCGAAGTAAAAGTTGAACTGTACAAACGTTATATTTAGGCATAAGATGGAACTGATGAGTGAAATTATTATTGATAAGAATATGATTTGTTGCTACAATCCTGGCCAAATCTCGCTGGGCCCCGTTCAATGTTGTCTCTCATTGCGCGGCGTGTGCTCCTTCAGCTGGAAACACTACATTGACCGGGGGAGTTTGTCCCCGTGGCAGGCTCAGGAAGTGTCCCAACCATTTTGGCCGGGATTGTAGCATGAACTCTTGTCAGTGCTGGAGGTTTCTCTGATACACATCTGAAAAAGTCCCTAATTTGTAGCAGCATTAAAGATGTAGCCGGTCTGTTTAGTTCACAAGTTAGTAGAGTAGATACCTGAATGTGTCTGCATGTCTCATCCTCGAATGCAGCTTGGTACTGCGGCGCTGCGAGCGTGGCTGCCCTTAAATCAGGTTGCCCTGGCCTCTTGACTTTAACCTTTGGTGAGCGAAGACGAGCAGTGATCTCGGTGACCGAGGGAATGTGTCCGTTCGGAAGGCCGTATGCCGACATCATGTACAAAGTTGTCTCCTTAAGGATGTACAATTAAGGGAAGGACATGAACTGACCGACTGAACAAACGCTGACACCTTTATTTATCAGACAACAACGAAAATCAAGTTCTTTTAATACTCCATTGCGTTGAAATAGAATGAAGGGGTCAATCAACAATAATTACAGAATGAAACGGCACCTGCGTCAGGGATGGACTATTCGCATCGCTCCCCCACGCTCTTTTGCAACTTACTATCGGGGACCCCAAAGTTACCGGCGGCAGGACTCCCGAGGCCCCAGTGGATACAGCCCACGAGGTAGCAAGACGTACACGGACCAAGCTTCAGATCCCCGGTGTGTCTCCGGCTACTGACCCCCTGTCCTTGCCCAGTCGTCAGCACGTCGGTGCAGCAACACGACAACGCACACACGTCTGTTCTCCACGAGACGTCGCAATCCACGTCCGTCTCAACGATGCGCTGTGATCAACTCCTACTTTGGAACGCGCGCACGGTTCTAACTACAGAGGGCGCTGCGCAAGCTTGCTGCCTCTTGCACTACAAATTACTCGCTGCAAGCACACCACTACTCTACAATACCAAGGAGTGAAAGGATGTGTGATCATCATGTCCCTGGACACACGGTTTTCCCAGTCAGCTACTTTTCCAGATATGATGTTTGGTTTGGCAAGAAGGTTTTGTATATTCTGAAGGCTAGAGGAGCTACAATGTAAGCTCTTTGCAAATCACTCCAAACCGGCAGAAAACAGGAAAAGGTGCTAATAAATGCAGTTATACAGTAGCTAGTGGTAAAGTCGTATGAACACAACGTGAAAGGTAATGAAGATAACCTGGAATGTATCTAAGATCAATGGTCATAGATCAACGGTCAAATCAAGTCAATTATGATGCAATTCGTAAAAGTTTTGATTCAGTTTTTATTTCTGAGGGTGGCATTGGAACGGGGTTTGGCGAGTACCATCCCGTTCGTTGGTGACATAGGGATGGTAACCCCCAAGCCGGTAAAGAGCGAATTGTTAAGTTTTGCGACTCGACCTGTTGAGGCGACAAACAACAGTTCAGCTCGAGTTGACATCTCATCAGTGGGTCCGTGGCCACTGAAAAGAGAGGCACGGGTCCATGGTGATGTGGGTCAGATAGGTAGTTTGGAGCGACCAAATCACAGGCCAAACATAATTCCTGATCGGTACAGCGGAAAGGTGCTTTGGAAGGAGTACCTCCGCCATTTTGAGTCGTGTCGTGAGGTCAATATGTGGAGCGAGGAGCAGGCTGCGAGTTGGTTAGCCGCAAGCTTGCAGGGAGACGCTCTACAGTTGTTGGGTGACTCTTGCCACAAGTACACGTATAGTGCGCTTGTAAAATTGTTGGAGCGCAGGTTTGGGTCAGCTCGACAGAGCGAAAATTATCTCGTCGAACTGAGACATCGGCGCCAAAAGCCAAAGCCAAAGGGCAAGCGATTCACGAATTGACAGCGAGAGCATACCCTGAGTTGCAGGAAGATGCTCATGAGAGGTTGGCTAAGAACCACTTCATAGATGCTGTTGACAGTTATTCAGTTAGGGAGGGCATCAACAGGGCTCGTCCAAAAAACTTGGGATGAAGCAGTCCAGGCCTCCATGGAGACTGAGATATCGAGAAGGTGGAACAGCACAGATTAATTGCTGGACCGGAAGCATTGTGGTGTTTCAGATGTAATGACAAAGGGCACTTCGCCCGGGAGTGCAAGAAAACTCCAAAGCAGGGAAACGTCAGTCAGCCCCCCCCCCCCCTTCCGTAGAACCCGCGGGAGGGCTGAGAGGTCAAAAGGGTCCAGAAGACAACACAGTGACAGCGAGGCTGGTGGTGGAGAGAAAAGGTCACAGCTTGGGGACGGGCAACGAGTCATAACTCTGCCCTATCCCAGTCGTGGAGTTCGGTATGGTTTGTTTGTTGATGGGATGGTAAGGACGACAAGTGTCGATTTTTGATCGACGTGGGGGCCACCAATACTTTAATAATTAGTACGGTGTACTACCACATTCCGAAAAAAAGAGGCCCGTTTTACAGACGGATAATGTTCAGGTGAAGCAAGTTGACGGTAGTCAGCTCGCCGTGTTGGGTATAGCTTGGGTAGAGGTACAAGTGGGTCGAACCACGCACCAAGTCAGGGCAGTGTTTGTGAAATGAAATGCTGTGGTATCCTGGGCATGGATTTCCTGGTACCCTCAGGTGGAAATCTAGATTTCCAGTCGAAAGAGTGGAGGCTCACTGGTGAGTGAATCAAATGCACCAATGGTGCTGGCAAGCTTTTTGTTGGTCGTGTTGTAGTTTCTCAAATTACGGTGATTCAGTCAGGTCATGAGGCCGTGGTCCCGGGTATAGTTGCTCGGAAGGGTGCCGACTTGGTCGGGCCTGCCATCGTCGATGGAAGGTGGCGGTGACCTAGCCAAGAAGGGCTTGGTGTTAGCCATATCTCTGGTTGAGACTGAAGCCGATGTTGTTGCGTTGCGGGTCTTTAATCCCGGAAGGGAGAAAAAAGTTGCACTTAAGGATACAACAGCGGGACTGGTCTCCCAGGTGGAAGTTGATTCAATTCATGGTGAGTTGGATAGGGTGACAGATGCTGGTGAAGAGTTACCCCAGCACTTGCAAGATTTGTTTGCGAGGGGTACAGCCAATGTGGAGGCTATGTACTATGAGGACGTCCGGAAATGTCTTGTAGACTTTCAGGATGTGTTGTCCAAGGGTGAACATGACATTGGTCGTACGGACGTGGTGCGGCATCACGTAAATACTGGTGATGCTAAGCCGGTGAAAGAACTGATGAGGCGTCATTCGTATTGTCAGGAGGAAATCCAGAGGCAAGTCAGTGATTTGGGAAAGAGGGGGGGGGTTGATTGAACCTTCCGACAGTCCATGGGCGGCAAATGTTGTTTTGGTTGACAAAACGGATGGTACGAAACGCTTCTGTATTGATTACAGAAAGTTGAATTCGGTGATCATCAAGGATGCCTATCCTGTGCCGCACATTGATGAAACATTTGATGCGTTGGGTGGGGCGAAGTGGTTTTGTACACGTGATTTAGCGTCGGGATACTGGCAAGTCGCTCTGGATGAGGACGCCAGCCAACAGTCATCATTTGTGTTGAAAAGCGGGTTGTACCGGTGGAAATGCATGCCTTTTTGAGCGGCTCATGGAAAAAAGGTAATGACCGGCTTGCAGTGGGAAATCCTACTGATTGATTTATTTGGATGACATCATCGTGTTTGGCCAGTCAATGAGGGAGACCCTAGAGCGTCTCCGAGTTGTGTTTGACAGGCAAAGAAACGCTGGACTTAAACTCAAGCCCAATAGGTGTCATTTGTTTCATATGTCAGTGGCTTACCAAGGGCACATTGTGTCCTCAGAAAGGGTAGCCACGGATCCTCAGAAGATCAAGGCAGTGGCAAGTTGGCCTGTTCCGAAGTGTGTACAAGCTGTGCGAAGCTTTTTAGGCCTCGCATCGTACTACTGGAAGTTCATAAAGGGGTTTGCAGAAGTGGCAAGTCCACTTTATGCATTAACCGAGAAGTCGAGAATGATTGTGTGGACTGAGAGTTGTCAAGAGGCATTTGAAGAGCTGAAGGGCAGGCTTCAAGCCGCCCCATTTTTGTCATATCCGATGCCCGAGGGTGACTTCATCTTGGACACCGATGCCAGTGGTGAAGGTATCGGGGCGGCGTTGTCGCAGGTCCAGGGTGGTGACGAAAAGTGCTTGCGTATGCAAACTGGAAGCTCAGCAAACCTGAGCGAAATTACTGTGTCACTCGTATAGAGTTGTTGGCTGTGGTTGTGTACTTGTAAGGCCGCAGGGTAACGGTCAGAATTTACCATGCCGCATTGCGGTGGGTACTTAATTTTAAGAACCCCGAGGGTCAGCTGGCAAGGTGGATTGAGGTCCTGTCTCAATATGACTTGGTCATTGAGCACAGGAGTGGCAAGAAATATGGTAATTCGGTTGTCGAGACGGCAATGCAAACAGTGCGGCTGTGAGGAGGTGGTCAAGGAGGATGAGGCAACTGGTGTAGTACCCGAGGTTCAGCATCAGGGGAGTGAGTTTGGGTTAGGGGCGTAGCTGCCCAACCAACCCTATCTCGAAGTGCTTGAAAGGAAGCACAGTCACAGGATGACACCATGAGTTGGCTCATGAAGTTGAAGGAGGACGGTAATGGTCGTCCTGAGTAAATGCTGCCACTTCAGAAGTTCGGGAAAAATACTCACAACACTCCAAGGTGTTCGATACACACATCAAATTAAAGCTTATTTCATCATCTTTTATTTTCTTTTCAATTTTCGGGGGGTCAATTAATGACTTTTAGGAGAAATTTCCATCTATAGATAATCACCCCTGAAAATAGTCCTGAAGCACATCGCCATTTTGAAAAACGATGCCTACACTCCATTGCAAAATAGAGCGCTTTTGGGGTCCAAATTACATCCAAATTACACAGAACTGCAAGCTCCCAGTCCTGAGCACGGCTTCCACCCATATTTTTTACAATGCCTCAGGTTCATGGCCCACAGCATGCTCAAATACTGAAGATTTTGAGGGCATGCAAATCGTGATTTGGCCGGCGTAGGCAATTTCGGACCGATTTACTGGTCTGCACCCATAAATGCGTACCTTGAGATTTCATTTTGGCTTTGGAAGGCTTTGATTGTTAGGTGAGATGCTGCTTGTGTGCCTAGTTTCGGGGCTCAGCTGTTTCAGGTGTTGAGTTCCGGGTGTCTGGAGAAGCGGGCTAGAGCGTAGCTGCGACAGCGGGCAGAAAAGTCGGTGAATTACTTGTACTCCGCATGTGTAATTGCTTAGGCAATCCGTGTACAAAGTCTGTGTAGCTGTACAGGGGTTGCGCTGGTACGTGTAGCCGAATTCTGGCTTACACACACGGCGTAGCGGGTACCCTGCTAACGGACCGTATACATTGCTAAGCGGCCGTTGTGCGCTTGTGACCCTGTGTTATTGCTAACTTAGCGATTCATAACTAGCGCTGTGTATATATGAAGCCACGTGGACCACATTGGGGTCAACACACCTTGGGTCAGACAAATGAACAAACCACTACTTAGTCTATAAATAATACTGAACTAGAAAATATTTAATTTGAAAACTCGGTCAGAACTCTATATCAAAATCTATAACACCAGCGCTGATGATGATAATCAATTTTTTTTTAAGAAGGCCTAAATGTTTAGGTCAACAATGTCACTCTAAGGCAATCAAGTCCCAATCCAAAAATGTTGATCGACTAGTCAGTTCAGTTCAGTTCACATCACTTCGTGGAGTTCCGGTGAAACTACAGAAGTTCAACGTCACTGTATACGCTACACAGTAAACTAAACGGTTCCTTCACAAGATCCCTCCTGCTTGGAGATAGACTAATGTGAGGGATGCGCCTGTTACGGTAGTTCACCTAATGCAGACAGCATACATGTAATTCATGTCCTTGTGAAAATGTAACATGTGTAAGGTCACACGTGGCCAGTCCAGTCACCAGCGGCTTGATCCACTCAAGATGTGGAGCAGAGTTCCTGACTGTGACTGTCCAGGCAGCAAAAATACAGATCAAGTTAATCCCCAAACTATCAGGGTACACCTGAGAGTAAAAAAAAACAGTAAAATATGTACCTTAACAAAAGGCTTGTGTCTCTACACAAAGCAATTTAGCGGGTCAAAGCAGACGGTAGATCAAATAATCCACCCAACTTCTAGCATCAGTACACTTTAAACTTGTTCAATTTCTAACATTACTCAACATGTAACTTAATTTGAATCATCCCAGTATGTGAGGTTTCATTACGGAAAGGTATATTGGTCACAAGATCAATTATTTCTTCTAGATGCATTAAAATTGGCTCCCGATTTATACAATTCACATTTGTTTCTGTAACGTTAATTTCAACATCAATTATCAAAACAACTTATCATAAAAAATCACCCCAAATGTTATAATCATCCCATTATCCTTCACTTATTCTCACCTGAGAGCCACAAGCTGTAGGATTTCAATCAATGTCAAACTAACAGTTGACTTTTAGCAAGAATCTTGGCATTTCACTGCGGGAATTTCGCCAATACATGTGCGAACATGGCGCCTGCCATGGTTACAGTACACGCGTGTCTCATAACTGCTTGAGGGCGCACTTCAGCGTACCACACGGGCTACATATTATAGTTGCTCATTTTGCTGCCATTGATGTCTAGTGCTTAATGCTGTGTGTGTTGTTGCATAGGCGAGCAGCGGGCTATCTCCAGTAACTAAGGACCCTGGTAATAAAACAACCCACCGAATCACATCCTGTTTAATGTACCTGATTATTGTGAATAAATTACGTTCATTGTTGTTTGAGATTACCGACAAACTGCTTCCGGTGTTCATGTTTACAGGTTTATTGTGCAATTAAGTAATACAGATAAATAATCAACACTCATTCATAATCGGGCGGTAGATTTCCACCTTAACGGACCTGCACCCTTAGCCTTGAAGGTCGCTCTGAGTGATCTCTCATCTAGGGAAGAGCTGGGTTTGGGAAGACTGTCTTCACCGCGCTAGGAGTCAGACGTATCCTAACAAACTTAGGTTGGCCGGGGGGGGGGGGTTCCCGCCACACTTTCTATTAACCATATTCACGTTTTTATTTAGCTCGGAAAACAGGCACAAGTATAGTAAATAACAAAAAAATACCTTCATGTTGTTTTAAGAAATACGATTGTTAGAAAATTCCATATTTGCACTTAATACTGTTTTTAGTAACTGTACATTTTGTAATCTGAATATGGTATTAGAAAATTTATAGAACGGCAATTTGGTCTAAAACGTGCCTCGATGGTTCATGCTGGTCCCACATATATTAGTCCCCTATTAAATACCAAATTTGTAAACTCATACTTTTGTAACCAAAAATGTAAGTTTTAGAACAAAATAGCTACAAAGCCACATTGCTCCCAATTTTGAAGCTTCAAATCAAACCTAATCTTGAAGTAGACACATTAAGCCTGCTCATGATGTATGATGTAGGTATGTGTAGGGTGGGGTATTTTAGTCAACCCAAATTTTGATTCCGCCGCTCGCCTATTAACACCTGACTGTATCTTCTCTGTTTTTACAAAGCAATTTGACTGGCAACAGCATTGACAAGCCTTTCGAAATTCCAGAGTCTGTGATGATGTTGTAAGTATTAAATAAATTACAACATTCAACTGCCTCTTGTCTTGGTAAATCACAAATATTTGTGTCTATCGAAATAGTTGCATCATCTGGTTATTTGCTAGGATAGCCAATTTCAAAATTGCGTTCTCTTCTATGATGACAATTGAACAATTGGACTATTTTCATGTCTGGCTTGCTCGTAGACACGCTCGTGGAAATCAACTGCAAGACATCGACTTGGTCATGAAAAATGGAGTCCAGCTAAAAACAGTGTGAGTCAATATTAATTGCTAGCTTTTCGTTGATTGTTATATATAAATAACAGAAATTTCACTCATATTATAGTCTATGTGAGTAAATCAGTCATGCTTTTCGACTTTTAAAACATCAACATGCTTTAAGAGAATCAGTTTTCAAAGTGATCCCGTGAGGCACCTGCCGCGTTAAACTGGGAAATTATAAACTACTTCGACTCTACGGATTAAATCACTGTAACTGTGATTTTTGACCTCCACAAATTATTGTCAAACGTTTAAAAATATTTGGACTTGAATTTCCTGGTTTTGTAATGTTGTAAAAACGTGCATGTGCACACGCAGGATTGTGTTGCATTAGTTTAAGCTGTTCGGCCATAGCATACATGGTGCTGGCGCAGGGGATTTTGTCTTCGCTGTATCGCCAATATGATTACCGCAAAGGAATTAACGTATATTTCAACATCGGTTTCTGTTCCAGTGATTTCGAAGGCAACAGAATGACGGCTATTGGTAGAGACACCTTTGCAAGATGTACACAGTTGACACATGTGTAAGTTTGCAAATTTATGATCGTAATTTAAGGTCTATAATACGAACCTCGTCCCGTTTTGCTTTGTTTTAAACCTCGTCGCTAATAGTAACCCATGTGTGGGACATTTACATCCTGTAGGCCTATCCCAATAAGACATGGCATGGTATTCTTATCGTGTACTTTGTGATTTGTTTCCAACGTGTTTTTATGACCTGCTCACATTAAGGAGCACCCTAATAAAACAAACAGAATATCTCAAAAGGATAGATAAAGTTCTTGGTTCAACAGACCATTCCACAATGAAAACGAGAAATAAGAACAAAAACAATGGTTATTGGGCTATGCCTCACTCAAAAGTGAAGAGAGACATGCCTATTAGCATCACAATGCAGTCACATTTCACCCAAACTGATTGTTAACTTTAGTGTACTTAAAATTTAGTCTGCATTTGAAGGACTGCTTGCCCTTGTAATGTATGTCTGAAATGACGGTAGACTGTTCCATAATCTTCACTGCTGCAGGAAGTTAAGTAGCATAGGTTGCCTGGTTCGTCGAGCAGCAGGTAGCCTTAAAGGTGGTACCGTGGATTTCTGCAAGGTTGGGCACTTGCTACACTGTATTCTATATTTATAAACAGAAGACTGCTGCAACATTTCATCGATGGGGTAAACTGCTAAGATTATGCCTCGATTGCTCTTGATTGCTTAACCATATTAGACAGCAGGCTCTCCTTTGGATTTTTTAAGAGTCGAAAGATGGACAGTGCTAGCTCCCATCCAAGCAGTGCGTGTGATATTCTTCAGATGTGTCTTCCATTCCAGTTTGCGAGAGAATGTAACTCAAAAAGTTTTATCTCCGGCCCATTACTGACAACCTGGCCTTGGAACATTATAGGCGGATGATTTTGCATGTCCTTCATGCTGAACACAGTGAGACACTGAATCAATGTCCATAGTCTCTCCTCGGTTGCTTGATCGTTTCAGGTCTTCCTGAAGTTGTAGCAGCTGCTAGCTTCAAGCTTGATCTTATTTCAGGAGGTGAGTTTTTGATGAATGTGAATATCGTGGTGACAACAGCATGGGCCAGAAGTTCTGAATAACAGATCACATCACGTAGATATCAGATGTAGATCAGGAACAGAGTGGGGCCAAGAATCTGATATGAGGTAGTTTTGAGAAATAGGTTTCCGTAGTTGATCATGTATGATGTTCTCCACTACCTTGCTGGTGATAGATAGTAGAGACGTCGGCCGGTAGTTTGACGGGCAAGATCAACCGTTTTTTCTTCTGCAAATGAACAACTCATGCAGCTTTCCACTGTGAAGGGGAAATAGCCTTTGCTAAAGCTGAATCGGAAAAGTTTGGCGAGTGAAGCTGCAGGTTCTATAGGGCAGTTCTTCAAAACCTTGGCGAAGGTACCATTAGGGCCTGATGCTTTGTTCTTATCCTGCTTTTTCGACTTCCTTTTTATGTCTGAAAGTGACATTGCTGAGGTGAACAGCAGTACGGTCCAGGATAACGTGTAATGGATCATCTGCAGAGTTGAGATTACGTTTGTTGGAAAAAGATGGAGCCAGTATATCTTCAATCTTTTGAGCTGTTGAGAAAAAGATGTTATTCTGTATTATGTGTTTTCACGTTCAATGTAAATTACCACGACATCACAGTTCCTAAAAAAATCACCTTTTTTCATTTTGCTGATACTAATAATGTCGTGTATCATTGCATATTGGATGGGTTGACAATGTAATATGACAACTTTGAACCAAGAAAAAAAATGTTTTGGATCTAGCGCTGTAACGAATAGATCCCATTCATAACCCCCGGCGCCACCGGGTACCAAATATTGTATATGGATGTTAACGTCCGTGCAGTTAGAAAGCATCCAGTGCGACGGAAAGTCTTACTTTGACAAAGAACTAACTGTGCATGTGACGCTATTCGCCAGAGACTAACAAAATGGTCAATTCAATTTACTTCCAAGTACATCATTACCACACCGGTAGACGAACTCGCGGAGGACATACAACATGAGCTGGAATGTGTCATCAAAGACTCTGTGCCTCCCAAACTCAGCTCTAACAGGTTTAACCAACCGTCGTTTAATTCTGACACCAAGCGTGCTTTAAGACGCAATATTAGGGCCTACAGGAAAACTCGCTGCACCAACAGAGACAAGGACTCTGCCCGCTTGCGACGGCTAAAGAGAGACGCCCATAAGATTTGTCGTAACGCGCACAACAAATACATCTACGACATTGTGCACAGTGAACCAGTAAGCGCAAGGAACAAGAAGCTTGGTGCTCTTATAAAGTCCATGCACGAGGGTGGATTCCTTAAAGCAGATTCATAGACAAACGCTGACGTCTTAAACCGGCAATTCACATCCGTTTTGTCCAAATATGATGGCTCCACACTTCCTGATTTAGGTTCCAGGAACTCTCCCGCCATGGAGTCCATCGCTGTGAGCCAGAGTGGTGTTACCAAACAACTTCGGAACGACAAGCCATTACTGCATCTAGCCCTGATGGCATTCAAACTAGACTTCTGAAGGAACTAGCTAAAGAAATCGCTCCTGCAGTCACACTCATATTTCAAGCCTCCATCAATCAAGGGTACCTTCGCAATGGAAGAAAGCTCACATCGTCCCTATCTTTAAGAAGGGTAGCAGGTCAGACGCAGCAAACTACCGCCCAATCTCTCTCACATCGGTTTCATGCAAGCTCTGCGAGCACATTGTTTACTGTGACAGTGATCCGTCATCTCGATGACTGCAATATCTTCTCAAACACACAGCACTAGTTTCGCCAAAGTAGAGCATGTGACACCGATTGGATGACAAATCACAAATTGATGTGATCCTACTTGACTACTTGATAAAGTCTCGCACCGCCACTTCCTGATGAAAGTTGAGCACTATAGAAAACGAGACAGCACCTTGGATTGGACCCAGGATTTTATCCATAAACGATCCCGATTTTTTCCAATGATCTACCTGCTTGCGTCCCAACTTCCACAACAAGGCTGTCTGCTGAAGACGCAGCGAGCCTTTAAAAAAGATCATGATGCCCTCTAAGATAGGGAGTCCAAGTGGCCGATGAGGTTTAACGTTAAGAAATGCCAGGTCCATCGAATCACTAACAAACGTAAAGCCATCCTTGCATCATACACCATTCATTGACGCACTTAAGAACCTATTCTGCGAAGTACCTTGGAGTTGATCTCGACTCTCATCTCACCTCAACACCCATGTGGACACTATCAGTAGGAAATCCAACTCCACAACGGTTTTTTTATCTCGCAACCTCAGACATTGAAGTTGAAATGTAAAGGAAGCTGTCTACATGAAGCACTACCTGTGTCAGACACACAGTGGAATATGCTTGCTCTACATGGGACACCCACACACAGTACTCACAGTTGCCTGGTCATGATGTACGAAATCAACTACAATTTAGTCGACAATGTTGAAAACCAGTCTCACCTAACATACTACACCAGCCAGAGGCCACGATTCCCGATTCGTCATCCCACACACTAAGTACTGCCTTCTTCCCACGCACCATCCGGGACAGTAACAGCCTTGTGGTAGATCCAGTGGAGTACAAATCCCTCGACGCCTTCCAGCTGGCACTAAGGAATCATCCCCTGAAATAGTCAGCACAACCAGCTTTTCACTTGCAGATCTGTGTATGTACATATTAGTTATACATATAATTGCTCAGACCCAATCTGTGGAAGAATACAGATACGGGTACCTTTCTACAAGTAGGTGTATGAGTACACTTTTATGAGTACAAACACTAGTATAACTGCACTGGCATAACTGTATATTCTTATTGGTCAATATTAACAAATTATTATGTTTCTAGAGTATGACAATTTCTCTACCGAATCGGTAGTGTACAAAAAAACAAGCATTCTCCAGGAGATAGTGAAGGCGCCTGTGACATCGTCACGCATACTGGTCTCTTTTTCGTGCCGGCATCAGAGGCGCAACGCGTCCGGGTAGCCAAGCGCTACTTGACTAAAGTATATGAGCCTACTGGCGCCCGGTCCGTATATTGTTGATATTGATTGTGGAGCGAGAACCAGACTACCTGCCAGAAGGAAATCGTTGTCAGGCAGCCAATAATTCGTAATTGTAAAGGAATAATTTAATGACAAACTGTCGATGTTTCATCAAAAATAACATGATTACTAGAAGATGACCAAAAAAGAAATATCTATTTTCAGGATGAAATTCGAAAAAGGCAAGGGGAGCGCAAATTTAAAGCACAAACTTTCTTGCAGGAATTTAAGAGGGAATGACGTGACTAGTACTGAAGCGGATGCATTCAAGAGTTGCACCAACCTTCGATATTTGTGAGTATTAACGAATATATATTTGTTTAAATAAGATATCGTTACACGATCAGTACATAGATATTTTACCATTAATTGACCATTTTGTGCAGCTTGGGGCGTGCTTTGTTAATTCGTGGTTTAGATTAATATCAATGCCAACTTGGAGACATTTAAAAAGACAACTTGGAGACATTTAAAAAGACAATATTCAGAAAAGATCCTCTTAGTAATTTTGGTACTTAAGAGGGACTGACGGGGCATTCGTATTGCGGTGTGAGAGGTGAAATTCTTGGATCGCTGCAAGACGACAGACTGCAAAAGCATATGCCAAGAAAGTTTTCATCAATCAAGGCGAGATTTTCGACTATCCCTTTCAAGACAAAATGAATCTTCCAAAATTGATGTTGGTGGAGTTTCACAATTTGCTGCAGATCCTGTCCTGGGGATGGTTATAATGATAGGTGAAGCCGATGTGAATAGGCCGAATGTCTGGGCGAATGAGAGCCTCCTCCTACAACACTCCCTTAATCACTCGAAACCACGGCCTATTGCATTCATGACTGAGTCCAAAAAGATAGATGATATAAAATTGCCACATCTGCAAAAGAAAAATATTGAATGTTTTGGTTTAATCAGATTACTGGATAAAAACAAGTTATCAACCATATCAGCCAAGGAATTGACTGGCCCGAAGGACATGATCGAATTGTAAGTTTCTTTTTATTCCTTAACTGTCACTTTGTGCAAGCAGTAATAAGTAAAGAAACAGAAACAAATCATGATGATACAGGAATGAATTTTAAGGATTGCGGGGGTTGGCTTTGCATTGACGTTAATATTTGCATGACCTATGACCGTTGGAAATTGTGTAAATATAAACTGAATTAAGATTTTGTTTCTCGTTTCTTTAATCTACAAGGGGTCTTCGCAGAAATAAGTTGAAGAAGCTCGGCCCAGATACCTTCAAAGGACTGCAGATTCAAGAAGTGTAAGAAACACTATAGGCACGGTGGAATATGGGCTCAGTGTACGGAAAGGGAGAGCAGCGTCTTAACTAAACACAGCAAAAAGAAGAAAGTCGACACTCATTGGAGGGGTCATATTTTTAATCTGATCGTCTTATGATGACGTCATTTATGTATACCTTTGGAAAATTCCGTGACCTACATTTTTGTACCCCGTTTACTGCAAAATACTGTTAATCGTTCAAGATTGGCAACGGTTAATGAAAAACGGTGCAGTTTGAAAAGTTGCAACTTACGAGATACACGAAGACAAAATGCGAAATGCAAAAACACATGCCCGTACTTCATTGGCCCTTATAATATGGTCTTCAGTATCGAAACACAAAGCGGATGATTCAATTTCACGCGCTCCCATGTTTACAACCACTATGTGATCGATATTTCATGGAGTTCGTTTCGGTTAGTCACGCAGGAATGTGCACTCGACTCGCGCTCTCTTTAAATTTGCAACGTTTGCAACTGCATTATTATCAATATTAGACATTCTTACTAGGAATGTTGTGGACTTTTGAAGCAATCGCCGCTTAAGTCCTTATTCGTTGCATTACCTGTTCTCCTCCCCTTCTCTGATGACATCATGAATTTGAAACCTTGCCAAGTTCTTAGGAATATTGTGGACGTTTGAAGCAATACGCCGCTTGAGTCCTTATTCGTTACTTTACCTAGTGTTCTCCCCTAATATCTACATGCTTATGTACACTGATAAGCATTGCTAAATCTCAACGTGTTACTCTCTTTACCTACAGGATATTTCATAACCTTTAAACTTTCTTCATCAATTAAAACCCCGCTCGAATTGTTTACCCGTTGTCTCAAACTTCACGTGTTAATTTACCGTTGCCGCACGCGCGTTTACCCTGACCCAACGTAAGGGGAACCCTTCTTCCCCATGGCCCAATTGAATGATGTCGTCGTGTGTCATGAGTGACTCTATATCACAATACCTAGTGTCTGGCCCTGCCCTATAGGCTAAACGATCTTGGGTATTATTCACATGTTTTGGCATTACAGGTGGATGGCCGGGAACGATGTGCAAGTGTTAAAGGCATACACTTTCGGCGGAGTCATCTCCTCCATGTGAGTATACATGTACATGTAGGTCGTGGTGAGTACTCAATAATAAGAAAGGGCTTCAAAGAATGATGCTCGTTTCTTTGTAATGCAGATGTCTACCAAAGGTGATTTGCTCAAACATTACAACTGGTACATGCCATGTTACTGTTGAATGATATTTCGAGAATGAAGTACACATAATATATTATACTTTCAATTAAGAAGGCATAAGAGCTTTATTATTGTTTAGAACAAATACCAGAGATAACCCTGACGATTTGTTTATTATACGCACACATTTTGCATTTAAAGTGTTTTGAATAAGAGGTATAATGAAGGGCAAAACCTAATTTGAATAATATCACCCCGGCGCAAAAATTCCATCTTATAATAGTTCATGCGGTACCCGCTGCTATGTACATCAGATTCGAACCGGCCAACCGATCCCGTTAGCTCGGTGGTCGAGTGGTAAGCCATCTGCACTAGACAGCACCTGAGGTCGTGGGTTCGAGTCCCACCCGAGTGATTTTTTCCAACTTTCACTCGGGAGGTAACACACTGAGTATACAGTGTATAAGAACGTCGGTGAAGGGCAAAACCTAATTTGAATAGGTATAATATACATACATGCATACTCTTTCCATTAATTATAAACAGCATTATCACACTACCATATTGAATATCATTATCAGTAAAATAACATATTAATACTGAAACTGTGATCTCAATTTTCGATGTTTGACAGAGCTTTGGATAGCAATAGAATTCTCGAGATTCCAGCTAGTTTATTTGTGGACCCCTCGAACAAACAACACAGGAAAGAAATCAAGAGATTGTGAGTATGATTGTACAAATACCATGGCCTTTAGGCTACGGTCATCTTGAAAACAAATTTTACCAATAAAAAAGTTATTTTAGCCTTCAGGACAGGGTATCACAGCAGGTGAAAAGACGGCGGTAATAAACCTGTTTTATTAAACCAGTTTGACGTATCCGATTTATGTTGAATTGTTTAAATACTGTAACTCTTTTGTTTCTTCAGTTATTGTTATGAAAACAGGGTTAACCGAGTCGCCATTGGAGCTTTTCAAGGTGTTAACAAGTTCCACAAATTGTAAGTAAACTTCAACGTCAAATAAATAATAAAATGTGCTTTGACAGACTTTATATACGAAACGCATTGGGCATTTGGGATAATTTTTTGTTCAATATCAGACAAATACATAAATGCACTATTAGTTGCTTTTAAACTCTTCATTTTACACATCTGTCACACTGTATTAGGTTAATGCAGAACAATCACCTAACGACTCTACCAGAGGGTTTGTTTGACACGAAGACAGAAATTGGGCAGTTGTAAGTGTACAACGTGTCCCAATAAACATTGTGCATGAAGAAGTCGCTGATTTGCTCAAAAGATGTTCATACTAGCTAATCAAATTTTATATTATTTTGAAGTCTATGGATTTTTTTGTAATTGGTAAAAATTTCAAGAAAAGTCATATTATTTTCCTCCTGCACAATTATAATTCTGCGGCTAAACTTAGGCTAATACATTATCAGGCATTCCAAGTGGTATTATATTTGATTGCAAAATTCTATTTCCCAAGCACTCACAAGACATACCAATAACCCAATAATTGGCAGAGGTGAAGAAATTACATTGTGCAGGTCGCAAATTACGTAGCCTTACCAAATCAAAGATACATTTGGTTAACATTGTTGGATTTTTTGAAGCAATTATAAACAAGACCATGGGCTTGAAAATGCCATAGAATTTGATAAGCTACTTTGAAAATTTTTGGAGAAAATCAGCGATATTTCTTCATGCAGAATGTTGATTTGGACACGCTGTACTTCTTCTTATTCATGTTTGAATATGTCTCAATGTCGCTTCATCGATAGTACAAAACTATAGGCGAGATGTTATTTTTATTAATGAAGGTCCTTTCCAAAAAAGGTATTCATTACTCTAACGTGAAATAATAGTCTCCGTTGACTGCATGACCTGAGTACATGTATGTTAAAACAAAAATCTTCAATCGAGATTCTTTCTCATAACCGATTAGACACGAGTACATGTTTAATAACGCTTCTTTTAATAAAAGGATTATCACCAAAAATGTAATGAGGTTGTCATATGTATCCGTTTCTATACCATACAGGTTGATAGCCGATAACTACCTAGATTTTCTACCAGAGAATATTCTAGTCAACACAACATTAACCGAAGTTCTGTAAGAGTTTTGACGGACTATTTTTTATGGTCTCAATCGCCACACTTATACATAAGTCAATTTTTTTTCAACAACGTTCAGTCTGTTTTTTTGCCGATACAATGCGCCAAAACAAATCCTTCCCTTGAAGCAAAAACTCGAGGTGGCTAACTGTTTTTCGGGGCAGTACATGTATGTATTAGTCTAAATACGTGACCCAATGTAATATTTGGTAAGAGAATGGTCGTATGCACAGCGTGCCTAGATTCGAGCAGTCCTCACCTAATCCTTGGAGTTTTTTCCCCAAGAGGGACAACTATCAAGTTAGTCTATCGCAATTCTCAACCAAACCAACCCCGTATAAAGAATGAGCTCTGAAGAAAAAAGTGTACCTTCGCTCTGTCTAACCTACATTGCTGACTCGAAAACACTTGAAGTGTGGTATAAATTATGCATGGGTTTGACGTTCCTTTTTTCTCTCAATATGTTCATATTTTGAAGTGATATTGGCTTCAATCGTCTCCCATCCATCCCCGATGGCTTATTTCGCAACCAGACCAAGCTACGGGCACTCTTCATGCAACGCAATCAAATCAGGGTCATTACCAGAGAAATGTTTAAGGATCTTCACTCTCTAGAAGTACTGTGAGTCTTATCGCTTATTTTCTTTTTTTTTTTTTGCTTACTGCTTATTTAAAAAAATCTAGCTTTCAATCAGTGTTTACTTATCCAGGTATTTGCTGTTCCCAAGTTGCAGTCACAAGGCCATGCATTTGCAATCATTTGTCGATCGTGCCAGAATAATATTTTGGGGGGACTTTCCTCTACCGGGATGTCGTGCTTCACAATGTATTGGAAACTTCGACCTCAATTTGCATGTTTACCACCGGTTGCCGTGGTAAACCTTAGTTGAAGCAACTTTGCCACATTTGTCATCATTGTTTTGTTTTGCGTTATAGCGAAACGTTATGGAATGTTTTTTTTTGTTATATATATATAGGCCTAATGTTGTAACTTTTAACTATTCAAAGTCTGATGAAAGAAGGAAATCTGCTAAAAAAAAAAAAAAAAAAAAAAATGTATAATGTTAATCATGAACCTACCGTGATATTAGAGGACTGTGAATTCGTATCATACATGCGAAGATAGCCAACAACTTCACAAATAATTGAGTGTGCAAAGATGGTCAATGAGGCCGGTCCTGGCGCAAAATGAATGATTGCAGTAAGAGCAGGTGTTGGTTGGGGGCTAACTAGGTGGAAAGGAGGAACTTGATCTGTTTTTACAGAGCTGTCGTTTTTGTTCGGCTTCACAGATGCGGCCTTTCTCATACTTCTTTACGCCGTGCATGACTAAGTTATAGGCCAGTTGGAGCGGTGCTGCGAAATGATCTCCCACGTCTCTAGATCTATGCTGCAACATTTGACGGAGGCATTAAGGGTGCCTTAATTTGTAACGTTTCCCGTGCCACCTTGAGTCTGCGCAGATTAAACAACTTGCTGTCAGAGCAGTATTGCAGATAGACCCCTATATCCCCGCAACACAAGGTATCTGTCAGCATATCCAACAACATCATGTTAATGGGTAGGTCTTAGGACGCAGCCTTGCTTCACTCCGTTGGCCACTCGAAAGGGCTCAGAGAATGCGCCGTTGTCTTGGACACGAGCTTGCATGCCATCGTGGATTTCACAGACCATGTTAATGAACATTCGGGGCAGCCAAAGTTGGACATAATCTTCCACAGGCCCTCCCGGCTTCAGTGGCGTAGCCATGAATTTGTCAGTGTGTGTGGGGGTGGGGGGTGGGGGGGGGTGGGGGGCGCTGGGGGGGGGGGGGCAGGAACATTTCATGGGGGCGTCATGTAGATCAACGATAATTGTTTTTAAAAACTCAAAATCTCAGTGGGGGAGGGGCGACTGGGCTGCGACAAACATCAGACAGACAGACATACATCAAAGAAACAGACAGCGTAAAATGTGTTGATTTAAGATATATGTGTCGATCATGCCAGAACCTAAAGGGAACAAATTGCCTGGCCGTTGCAAATCCCTTTGGCGAAAACCAAGTTTTGTTTCGCTAAACAATGGTATGCCCTCGTGTAGTAATAAGGCGTATTCAAAATGATTTCCGGTGTCTTGATTTTGTTTCATAGATCCGTATTTGGCAATCCTCTCATTGAGATACAAGCCTGGCTTTTCTTTAACACGCAGCTCACAAATTTGTAAGTACATGCATATCATCTACAATCAATTGTTTATTAAGTGATGTTATAGATGTTTTATATTTATTTCACATTAACATGTGCCAGGTGCACGATCCGTCATGTTTGCCGCCCATAGCGTGCTTGATCGGCTATGCAGTACCTGTTTACATGTCTGCATGTATTTACATGTCTGCAACCGTAGTGGTGTAATATGGCGGAAGCGTGGGTAACTACTCGACTCGTTCGTCACATTAAGTACTACTTTAACCAAAACAACATCGATAAACCAAGCTCCGACCTATGAATCTTTAACCAATCACAGCAACGTTTTATGTCCAGCATTGCGTGCACTTACATGACGCGCGTGTGTGGCGTGAATTTAGGTTTCAATGATATACGGACCCATTGGAAGTATTAAACAAGTCCTATTTCTTTAAGTCGGATTTTCATTCGCCACCGGCTGAAACTTGCAGTGTTGTATGGCATTTTAAATTGGTACTTGTGTGACGCAAGTACGTTGTGCGCGGGGCCTTTTGGTTATGTCAATTCACACACTGTTATGCTTCAGAAGCATTTTGTCGTATGATATAAGACCAAATGTTAAATTATTTCCATTGTGTTTACTTCTAAGTGATTCATACCTCAGAGGCAAAGCCAAAGCCGAAGACGAAATCAACTGTTTCGGAAACCCCATTAATGATAACAACTTGGGTTATTGCTTGTAAACTTAATATGGTACAAAAAAATATCCATCATTTTCAATTGTTTTGTTAGATACATGTTCCAAAACAACTTTTCTTCGATCGGAGAGAGACCATTTGCCACCGTCAATAACACAATCAAACAGGTGTAAGTACATCGATCATGCAATTTTCTAATTTGTTTGCTTCTCCGAAAGGAGTCAAGTATTGTATACCATCATTTTTGTCATAGCATACACTTTTGGGTTTCATATGCATACCTTGGCCCTTCGGGAACAAGATTCCCATATCACTTTAAAGCCCAGATTTGTATGTTCGCATTTGCCGGTCCCAATCACGTAAATGTATCGGTTTGATGTTACATTGTTGGTTTCGCCAATTTGCCAGGTTTTGATAAAACACTTATGGTTAAGCATTGATTGATTCTTACTTTTCCGATTTTTTCCAGATCGTTGTATGGCAGTCATTTGACAACTATTTCCGATGTCGTATGGCAAGATTTGGGCACCAACTCCTATGTGTAAGTTACAGTTTGCGTTATCAGGTTTCCGTGTTCAAGTTTAACCTTCATTTGAACTACTGCGCTGCCAAAATCGTAACTATTGTTAATTTTTCTTCATGTTTACCTGTGTTTTTTAATTAGAACAAATCTTAGCTAAACAATAAGGATTGACCTCATAAACCCTTCACGTATTTTGCATAACACCTATTTTGTATGACAATTATTGGTGTTGTTTCGACCACATTACCATAACATTATGTTCCTTTATTCTCAGGGCTGTTGATAGCACCCTCCAGTTTGCGCCTGTCACATGCCGGACTGACCTGGAAATGTAAGGATCGACTCTCACGACGTAATTATTACATGAAAATTACTAGATATTTTGTTTCCTTTCTCTATGTTTCAAAGGGCTCATACGTTAGTTTGAGAAAGAAAAAAAAACACGAAAATGTCAGGACCATCATTTTAGTGAAGTTCTGCATGTAGCACTTTCAAAAATCTAGGATATGAAAACCAAATTCGTGAGTTTTCTTTCAGTACCAGAATCAATCAAATCACATTCATCCCATACACATTCACATACATCCCTATGTGATTTATGTTCGTTTTGCTGGAAGAACACTTGCCTGTTTTTGTGATCCGTGGACAGAACTTTATTTAAAACAGTGTTTGTGTTTAAACTTCCGTATCTTGAAAAGTACATGAGTGATTTCAATTATTGTTGTACACAAAACTTATTAATTGAGCTTTAATATCCTAGATTTGGAAAGTGCTTCACGCAGAACTTCACTAAAAAAAAATGGGCTCTGTTTTGTTTTACTTACCCGGTATATTTTTATGCAATCCTTAGGTATGCACCTGTAACAAATTTAACCTTATTTTAAAGTGAGTGTGGCCTAGTGGTAAGGTTCGTGACTTATGATCTGAAGGTTAGGGATTCGAATGCAGCTGCTGGTCATATTATGTTGTGTCCACTTTACCACCACTTGCCTCTCTGCACCCAGAAGTACAAGTGGGTACCGGCAAAAGCTGGGGTAACCTGCGATGGATTATCATCCCATCCGGGGGATAGACATATTCTCAGTCGTTTCATTCTACTAAAACCGGTGATAAACGCCGGCCAGGGGGCCAGATTGGCAAGTGACAGACTATACTTCTTAAATACTTGGTTCACAACTTGAACTGAAACCCCTTAACTGAATAGTGACTTCCCAATACGACATGAGAGCAACATCACCATTAGTTGTTCTAGGTAAATCAAACCAAACAAACATTCGTTTAAAGAAGCGCACTTTTCAAAAGCATTAATAAAAAAAAGGATGTCAATAGTTTACAAACATTCAGGAGTAGAAAATTACATAACATGTTTTCCTAAGGTAAGTTCACCTTATGGACCCTATAGACATGGCCTATCTTGCATTGGCACAGGGTATTGTAAAATGACACATCGACCTTGGGTTAACTTTTGTTCTTTCCAATTACAGTGAACAGGTTGGTGATGGGTTTGCCCTACCGGTACTTGTTTCGAAGGAAATGGCAAAACTCTTCAATAAGTCTGGATTCTCCTGTTCAAGACCTGACTTCAAAGTTGATTCGTGGCGATGTAAGCCCTGTGCCCAAGGACATTATGGAGATGCTCCAAGCCATGCCTGTAAAGCATGCCCAGCTGGTACGTATGAAGTGCAGTTGTTATGTCTTAAAGGCAGAGTTGTTATTACTCGTTTCAATGACTCGACTCAAGTCCGACTCAAGTCACCATTTTCGGTGACTCGAATTAACTCGAGTCCCTAAGGGTAAATAAATCGACTCGACTCCAGTCCCAAAAATGAAAGCAAAACTTGCGAACAATATTTGCAATGTCTTACGCCGGTCCGGGTTTTGTTCACGTCCCATTAGAAGGTTCGCAGACTAATGTGTACTTATACATACGCGGTTTGATCAGTGTCCCCGTTAGTTATATTATGGCGATCAGCTGGCACCCCCTTTTTTCATTAAGAGTCAAATGTGGTGTCACCACACGTAGAAGACCGAATGTAAAATTACAAAAGCCAAAAAGTGCTTTTCTCTCTCGTGTTTATTTATTGTATAGGGTTCAAATATTTGTGACTTGATTTGACTCGAGCTAATACTTGACTTGACTTAACTCAACACTGTGACTCGACTCGACTCGACCTTCTTGACCTATGACTCGACTCAACTGTAGTAACGTCTTTAAAATGACTCGACTCGAGTCAAAGAAGTCAGTGACTCGTCACAACTCTGCTTAAAGGATATAGTGTTCTTGAAGGAAATAGGGGAAAAAATCACCGTCTCTTTAAATGTTCATGCCATTGCGCACGTTTTTTGCTTGCAGCTTTTTTAGGTGCACCTGCTGTTTGTTCCACCCATGGGTATGTGACAAGCATTTCTTGGCAACAAAATTGTTTGCCCCCTCTAGAAAAAAATCCTGGCGACGTCCATGTTCACGTACATTATGCGCTGACGCAGTGACATGTACCCGAGGAGACAGTTTGAAGAAAAATCAAGCGCCCGGGCTTGCGACGTGCACGGAACACTTTTTCAAACACATATTTTAAAACACGGTTTTAGAACAGAAAATTCTCTTTCCTAGCAAATAAGAAAATCATCATCAAATTTCAGATTTTGTTATAAAATGAAGAAATAATGTGTGACATCATGTTACATTTAAGTAATATTTCCGACAGTCATTATTCACATCAACGCATAAACTATAAAAAGGAATTACGCCAAATTTAAAAGACCAGAACTGCACCTGGCGTAAAACATCTTAATTGGCAATTATTAAATCCCTCCATAACAATTAATTGAGGGTATCCTCTGACTACAAACGGAACTCCTCCCACTACGAAAAAAACTTTGAAATTGCCAGGAATCCCCACTAACAAGGGGCAAAGTTTCAAGTTTTAAGCCATATGTTATTTAGTGATTTGTTTTTAAACTACTTAACCTCTTCATTTATTGTCAGGTGTAGGGATGTATACTGGGATGTATAACCCCAGAGGAGTTAAGTTGACCTTTTCATAATAAGCAAACTTGTACATGTATGCTTTATATATCATTTTTAAAATATCCTTTAAACAAGATATTGCTCTTATCCCGTAAACTTTGTTTTGAAAAAAAATATCAGAATGACAATAAAACGTTTAGGCCCCCTACAAAAAAAAATTAACAAAAATGTTTCCAGTTCCTGGTTAAGACTAGAGTAAAAAAGTGGAATGTCGATTATTATTTTTTTTTTAAATGTTCCATATTACACAACATAATTAGCGAGTTATGATATTCAGCTATTCAAAACCAAACCGTATCACCATGTAGAAAACATTAGATTAAAGGGACATATGCACATAAAGCTAAAATTGACCTTCACCAAAAAAAGTCCACAGTTTTTGATTCAGGGTTAACTAACTTGAAAATTGGAATGGCGATTGATTTTTTTATGGACAAAGTCTGAACCAATCCCACAAGAACAGTCTTCAAACCAAATAAGCACACCATGGACACATCACAACTTATCGAGAAGATGTGGACAGATGTCCTCGTGCTTCCAAATGAGACTTTGTAGGTGAACAATTTGGTCTCTGTCACGTAAGCCCTATGTGAGGAGTTTACTATTTTGTCAAAGAACACTCAAGTCTATTTATTTGTTACATCTCAAAGAAAAAAAAATCATGCACTTAGTGAGTTTCCTTAATTGTGTAGGTTTTTTTTATTAATAAAAATATAAAGATGTGATAGATATATCTTTTTTTCCCTGTGTTCACTTTAATTATTATCGAATCAACATTTCCAAAAAATTATACATATGGGTCTTTCCATGAATTGGCAAACAGTTTGTGACATATTTTTGGATGAAGAATAAGTGGTAAGGAAGGCAGAATAGTCTTTAGGTTTGTTTTGACTCCTGTGGTTGTTTAAGCACGTTTCTAAGCATTATGGTGCTATTGAGCATAATATTTGAAAGACAAATAAAAGGTTTCCAATAAAACATACAAACCACACATTTTTTTCACAAATTTGGTTAGTATTTTTAAGTTTTATTCACATTTTCCCCTAATGAATAGCTCAGAACATAATCAGACCATTTAAAACTTGTATTTGAAAACTTGAATACAAGTCTTTCCTATTTTATGATTGATCATTGATCCTAATTGTTTAACTCTTTAGATTTTTTTGTAAATTAACGGATTTCACGGGATAGCACTAAGACTGAACATTATATTTCTAAATATATGTAAGTAATGCGCCAATCAGATGTTTCCTCCACCCCCCCCCTCCCCCCTCCGCGCAGCCAAATGTCCGATGTCGGGAATTGGTCACGTTTTTCATGCCACAAGGTGGGGGATTTTGGTCACTCAAATTACATTGTTACCATTGGTATGCTACATGGAAATGCATATAACAATGCGCCCCGCGTATGTATGTCGGGGCATGGTCGGGGATTGTCACCTAAATTGTGCCCGAGGGGTGGGGATTTTTTCACTTCAAAAGGGACAGTCCCCACATCTTGGGTGGGGTAGCCCGGGGAGGGGTGGGGGAAACAATTGATGGGCGCATAATGGTCTATAATAATCTCAGCTAATTTCTTTAGGAGAAACTAATGAACAATTGTTGTATATCTCAAAAATATTTAAGACTCCATGTTACATTGTTAACCTATTTCGGTTTTAGTTGTAGTATTAGGCACGTGGTTTAAAACCAGGTAGGGGCCTGGTAGCCAATAATAGCCATGGGCATCGCGCGGGGGGGGGGGGCAAGGGGCACTTGCCCCCCCCCCCCCCCCCCCCCACCCCCCGGAAAAGAAAAAAATGAAGAAAACAAAAAAAGGCGCGAAGACAAAGTGGTGTCAATTTAATGAGTTGGGGGGGGGGGCAAAATGTCCCTGCCCCCCTCTAAAACTGATCAATCGAGAATGTGTTGAGAAATACAAGCTTTTTCTGGCAAACTCTTTTTTTTTGCCCCCCTCTAGAAAAAAATCCTGGCGACGCCCATGATAATAGCCCTCACATCGGTGACCCAGCCCCTTATTTGATTGAGTGGAAATAAAGTATTGATTGATTGATTGATTGATTGATTGATTGACAATATACCCAGTTTGAAAATAGATCATTCAAACAAGCCCACAGTATCATTTTCCCTTATTATTACCTCGAGGACCTTGACCAGTTTTCGGTGTTTCACTCTCTTGTTCAGCCTACTGTGTTACCTGCCAAACCTGGATCTGGTCAAACCTTTAAGTCAGTCTGCATTCTGCAAGAAAATAATTACGAATCATAGTAAACTCAAAGGGGTTTGCCTTAATTTTCCCTCTGTATAAATGGAAAGAGTTCCATGCTGGGCCACCACTCATATTCCCTTATATGACCTGAAAAGTAGCAACAATTGTAAATCGGATGAAGAAACACTGTAAGGAGTGCAAACATTCTTAAAATATTTGGGTATTTTCTGTCATGGCCCATAGACTTAATGCAGGAGGTCTGAGTGGTGGCCCAGTATGGAATTCTTGGGGTATTTTTAATTTTTTTAGCCAGGATCAGAGCAAAAGAACAAACCTAAGCTGTTCATTTTTTGACTGTTCATAGTGCCTACTAATATTCTAGCAGAGTACAATTTTTTAAATGAGCCAAAATCCGAAAATGGTTAAACAAATTGAATGGTACACAATAACCTAGGTCTCAACAAAGTTTCATATAGAAGATTGTCTCCATTTTAGCATCCTGAAGGGCATTCATTGCAAAAATGCTGAAAAGACATGAATGAGCCACTCAGAAACATTGCAAATTTTGTTTATGATAAAAAATACTCTGAAAATCTTCTTGACTCTCCATAGACCTTGTCCAAACCGTCAAATTAGCGTCTGACAGGCCTAAACATTATTTCTATAGACCCGCTAACTGGGGTGGCTGGGGTTTTTTTTCGAAATGCGGATTTAGTCTGTCGTCATGGGCGTCGCCAGGATTTTTTCTAGAGGGGGGCAAAACATATTATTCCCCAAAAATTCTTGTATTTCTCAACAAATTCTCGATTTATCAATTTAAGAGGGGGCAGGGACATTCCCCCCCCAAAAAAAAAAAAACAAATCATAAAATTTACACCATTATGACTTCGCGCCTCTTTTTCTTTTCTTTTTTTTTCCTTTTTGTCTTCTTTTTTTTTTTTTTGCTTTTCCAGCCCCCCCCCCCTCGCAACGCCCATATCTGTCGTACGACCTAACCAACAACCCCTCCAAACTTAGGCCTTGTTTTGCAATATTTGCAGATCATTCACCTCAAAAATTACCACAATAGCTCAAAATACTTCAAAAAATACCTTTCAAAGCGCCTACTGGCTTCTCCACATGTCAAAAACAAAGCAATGGGGCTACAGTAATCCTCACGATCATTGTTTTGGGTTGCAAATTCTTGAAATTCAACAAGTTTGGCACAGACAAGTGTGTGCAGAATGATCTCCGCGTTCAAATAATAACGGTTAACGTACGCCGCTGCGTGGTCGAATGCTATGGACGTACATATGAACATGTATGCGAAGACTAGGGACACGACTATGACCTATGCATGAACTTGTTGCAACACGTTGCCGTTGGGACAGTCGTTTAGCGAAGTGTACATGCACACAAAGAGAGATGAAACAGTTTGAAATGTTCAATGCTCCCTTTCTTGTCAAAATTAATTGTTTTAGCCGTTTGACTAATTCAATCTCATGCACTTTAGTTGAGGTGCAAATAGCACATCAAGTCTGTTAAAAGCAAGTATACCTGAAGTGTGTTGGCATGCACACGAAGTGCTATCTCTCAAATAGTTTACATTACTTAAAGTACTTCAGATGATTACAGTCCATCTCTTGCGCTAATTTTGCTATTACTGTGTACAATCACATGAGGCGCAAAATGGTCATAGCACATCAAGTAATTCGGGTACCAATAATCTATTACATGAAATTACCTGATGTGCAATAAGTGTGCTTAAGCACATAGAGTGCTCTCAAAAATCCAAAGGGGAACATTGTTACAATCACATGATTGAAGCACATTTATAGCACATTAAGTGATTTTAAATGTCTTCAATCTGTTACATGAAATTACTCGAGGTTCAATACGTGTGTTCAAGCACATGACATGCTAGCTGGTTCACATCTCTTCATGTACTTTAGAAGATATCAGTCAATCACTAGCACGCAATTAAGGTGCCATGATTGTATACAATCACGTGAAGCGATATAATTTTATAGCACATCAAGTGATTCAGGTGGTAGTAATATGTTACTTGAAATCCCTTGAGGTGCAATAAGTGTGTTCAAGCACATGAGGTGCTTTCTCTCAGACAGTTCCCATCTCTTCATGTACTTCAGAGGATATCAATCAATCACTTGCACTTAGCTGAGTTGCCATAAGTATGTACAATCACCTGAAGCGCTATATTTTTGCAGGTGTTATAAGCACGTCAAGTGTTCTAGTTGCCAATAATCTGTTACATGAAATCACTTAAGGTGCAATAAGTGAATTCAAGCACGTGAAGTGCTATCTCTCAAACAGTTCGCTTCACTTAAAGACCTTCGGGTGCCTTTATTTTGTTACTTGCAAGAGCTTGAGGTGCGATAAGTGCTTCAAAGCACATAGAATACTAGTCTTTAATTATTCTTCATCACCTCAAATACCTCACCTGTTAATATTCTGTTGCTTTCACACTTCAAGTGCCACAAACAGTAGTGCTCAGGTGCATGCAAGTGCATGAGGTATGGTAATTTTTTTTTACAGTGCAGCTTTTCGAGAAAAGAAAAGTTTTGCATGAGATTGTTCAAGTACATGGTTGAAAGCCATACTTGAAGTCGAAGACAAAGGTCGAATGTCAGTGAGGGGTTTTTGATGGTCACTATTTTAATGCAGTTACATGTATTATCCTTGAACTTTAGGAGGCTTTTACCAAATCAAGACTGGACAAGTAGCAGATACATCACAGCCCATCAAGTGTCAAAAATGCAACAATGGAACCTACGTCACCCCAGCTGCTCACCCTGGTATAAGCCCTGCAGATTGCACCGTGTGTCCTACAGGTACCAATAAAAGTCTCCATGCAGGGTTCCGCGCATGCTTTTGTCTCGATAAGTACTACCGGAAAGATCGGTTTGATGAGTGTTATCCTTGCCCAGACGAAGGTCTTGACTGCTCAGAGGAGTATCAACACCTCTTACCTGGATTTTGGTGGACTTGGGAATGGGGCTCAAACAACGACAACTACAAAGCATATCAACATTTCGTTGTAAACATCAGGAGCAGAAGTGATTCCTACAATAGCAGCACGCATCATTTTAGGGGAGTGGTGCCTAAGGTACATCCGTGTCCACGTAAGGAGTCTTGTTTGAATGAAGGTGATGGTATCAATGTCACTTGTGAGGTTGGTTATGAAGGTTGGCTTTGCTCTGAATGCAGTGTGGGGTACTATGCGTGGTTTGATCGTTGTAATGTGTGCCCAAAGTGGTGGTGGTTCTTACTTGAAGTCGTTCTGTTGTTGGTCGTGTTGGCAGTGGTAATACTTGTCATCGCTTGGGATGTGCGGAGAAATCGGAGAAGAGGACGGTCAGCCGTTGATGTGATCTTTGCTCGGGGGAAAATCTTGCTGGGTTTCTATCAGGTAATGGGCGAGATATTCTCTGCCCTTGACGAAATTCCCTGGCCGAATATTCTTAACAAGTTTGGGTCTTTTTTGAAACTACTGGAGATGAATATTGTCCAACTGGTCATCAGTCCCCGCTGCTACTTTCCAGACTTCACCTACCGCATTGTGTACATTGAGTATTTGTTTGGGATGAGCTTAATTGCATTTGTTATGTTGGTTGCATTGTGTTTCTATTGGGTCTCAAAGTGCTACATGTACTTGGCAGCAAGGAAATACACCGATGAAGAACGTATCAAGGTTTCATCAACTACGAAGCAGAAATGTTACCTGTTTGTCGTTATGCTTCTCTTTGTTTCATATCCTGGCCTGTCCGGTGTTATCTTCACCCTCTTGCCTTCTGGCTGCGACCTGTTCTATCTTGATGAGAATGAAACATACAATTCTACAAGACTTCGATCAGATTACTTTATTGATTGTCAAGATGAGCAGCATGTTCATTTCAACCATGCTGCCGAGGCTTCTCTTTGCTATGTTGTTGGCTTTCCGTCCTTGCTGTTTGTATTTCTGTGGAGAAGCAACAGACAAGACAAGAGGAAAAATTCGCAGGAGCAGCCTTTGGTTGAATCGTCAGTAAATGATCCCAGTTACTACAGCGTCAATAATCCAACTATGTCGACAGTAAATGAAGATGATTCCACACTCAATCAACCACACATCAACCTCCTAAATCCCCAAAAGCAAAGTCAGGTGGATATCAGCTGGAAAAGTTTTCTCAGTGGAAACTACAAAGCAGAGTTCTGGTACTGGGAAGTTGTTGAGCTTTCTCGCAAAATCATCCAAACACTGTTTGTTCTGCTTTACGGCCCAGATGACCACTTCACCATGTTTGCAACCATCGCCATATCTGTTGGGTTTTTGCTCCTACATGCATATGTGAGACCGATGAAAGACGCCACCGATAACCGTCTACAGATGTGTTCCCTGGCAACAATCTTCCTGAATCTCCTGGCAGCTTCCTTGCTCCTGTCTCGAACTGGAGGTAACACTGGGAGAACCGAAGTCCTTGCGGCAATCCTGGTTCTGATGAACTTCAGCATTATTGTCTTCGTCATAGGTACGTAGTTGTTTAAATGGATTATCTTGATTGTTTTAGTATTCATTGGTGCATTTTATATGGTGCTTGAGACTGAATTTGAAGAAATAGTTACCATGATCACCTTACCAACTGTCATTTAATTGGTCATTGAGCACTATTGATTGACAGCTAGGACGAGGCGGTTGGAATCAGTAACAATGTTACATTTTGGATTTTTGTTTTTACAGGGAGTCTCAGCTGGATGGTGATGAAGTCACTATGGCGCTCTGGGTGCTGTGGTAGAATGGCAACATGCATTGCTAAAGCCTGCTGCTGGTTCTGTCGACACGAGTCACCGAACAGGGAAGGCAGAAGCAGACGTCTTGTGATGACCAGCGTGGGAGATCATTCCCTTGATGTTGATGAAGACTACGTGGAAAGAACTTATGACGACATCATATCTGAACGTTGTCATGTGGTTGAGTAAATTCCTACTTGTTCATGGGTTAAAATTAAAAGGCAAATCAGGTCAAATATGGTTCATTTGTATAGGTCACCTGGAATGCCATGCACCCTTACAGTTGAGGTGGGTAGGGGAGTGCCTGAAAAGATACTGAACTTTTTGTAACAGATTTTCACATTTGTTTCGTATAATTGTGGTACAGTTCAGCTGTCAAAATTTGCAATGGAAGTGGGAGCTACAAAAGATGTTAATTAATTAATACTTGACGATTTGGGGATATTATCAAACATTTCCTTGAGATAATGATTGAAGTGTCAATAAATTTGGGTCATGGACAGATAATGGTCAAATGTGTATAAATATCACAAAATGTTAGCCTGTTTGCCTTGTGGGACAGAACAACGTTGATGTAGCTTTGTCTGATACTAATCTTATTTCTGTTATTGTCTCATGGATGGGACGGATAAAATTTAATAACTACAGCTTTTTTGTATATTAGGTTATACTTTGCTTTGCGTGAAATACTATATTTGAGGTCAAATATTTGGTCAGTGGTCTTTACAAGTTTGATGATCAGTTATTCAGATTATGTACGCATAGAGTATCCCAATGTGTTTTCAAGTTTACCTGTATTTTAACTATCCATTTTGCCAAAATGGTAATTTTCCTACATGTATACTTATTTTGTAATTGTAACATGTCTTAGCTAAACATTTGCCTTATAAGCCGTTCTTGTGCTTTAGTTTCGACCATAATACCATTACATTCTGTTCATTTATTTTCAGGGCTGTTGATAACACCCTAGAGTTCTTGCCTGTCACATGAAAATATACGGATCGACTGTTATGACGTAGTTATTATCTTATGGTTACTAGATTTTTTTTTACTTGCTCTATCCTTTAAAGAGCCCATATGTTATGTATTTTTGTATGCAATCCTTAAATATGCACCTTTGAGTCACAATTAACCTTATTTTCAATTTTTATTTTGACATGTTCAAGGGTGTTTTGTGCCTTTTTTGTGTCATGCTGACCAGGAGTCACTCGAGTACGTTAATGTGGTAGTGCATTGTTTCTCTTTATTTGATGTCATTTATTACAAGTGTTTGACATTCACATTACCAACAAAAGCGTATTAAACTGCCGGGCATAGACTTCGTAATTCGCATAATTTCCCTAATGCAAACTTCAATAATCTTGATCAAGCTTGCAAGGTCCATCTCAGAATCAACAGTTGCTTGAATTGTGTATATGCTGTCTTCAATATTCTCATTACGGTGACTGTAAGGCGACGAACATTCTTTTCTCACAAATCCTTTTCAATCAGCTTATGTGTTTGTTCACAACTTGAACATAAACCCCTAAGCTGAACAGCGACTTCCCAATACGGATGGAAGGTAAAAATCATACATTTTGGAGTAGAAAGTTGCATAAAATATGTCCCTAAGGAAAGTGTTGATAAATATCAGAAAATGTTAGCCTGGCTTCCTTCTGTTTGCACTTAACTACTTCTAAATATGTAAGTAGTGATCGTTTTAAATGTATGGATATGGAAAAGGAAGAACCGAAAACAATATTAGTGTACCTTTGTTTTATACTAAATGTATTTAAACTATTCTGTCATGAATTGGATGGATTAATTAACTAGAGCTATTCGTAGATTAGATTCTACTTTGCTTTGCACGAAAGCCTATTAGATAATTTGAAGCGTGTTCTTGTTGAGTATAATTACCTGGACAATACCAGCACTTGCAGAGCCTCGGAGGTCTTCTCTTTATACCAATCAGAAATATTGCTTTATTGTTGTTAGCTTTGGCATGACTTCTAGCAGGTTGTCTCTGATTGGCATTGCTTTTTTGTTTCCCCTTCTTTTGTATCTGTGGGGACATTGATGACTTGCTTACAATTTAACTCCAATTACGCCAGAAGAAATTAAAAAAGAGGAAATTTTGGATTCCCTCAATCAACAAATGTGTCCTCGTAATTTGTATTTGTGGTTGTCTGTCAGTCTGCAGAAGTTGCCCAACGGGTTAGGGAAAAAATGATCGCTTTACCTTATCCCTATGTTGCTATGTGGACTACATTTGTATATATTTTCATTCTGTTAATAATGGTATTGTGTTAAATTTACTCGTATTGATGTTGTATGCTGAACTGTTGACATGATGATTTCGTGTTTCTAGTTTTGTTACAGCGTTGAAATAAATGCTTAGTAAGTATACACCATATCAATCATGAAATTAAATTACAAATCATTCTGCGTTTTGGCAGTCTTGGCCAAAGTCTGGATTTGGATTGCGTTAACTACGTGCAGTCGAACCGGCGCAGCCATCTGACATCAACAGTAGATGGCGATATCGACGAGTAAAACCGAAGCCAGTCTTTGGGAATTAGGCAGGCATCCCCGAAATATTTTCAAGTATACCTCACGCGCTCGCATTAGCATGAATATAATAGCTTGAAGCTGCACAATGACATGTATTTTTGACACCACCATAACCATAACAAATCATTACTACAAACCACTCTTACGGGACTAACCCTGCAAATATTGGGCAAACGAGATTTCAAGGTCAAAACTCCAACATTGACCAATAATAATCGTTCCTCTGATTATACTTTTTTTGTAAAGTTATTTTATTTCTAAACTAAGGTAAACAAATATATTTCGTATATTCTCAATATGCATTATATAAGATGAATCGGTGATAATTTTTTTAATTACTAGAGAACAAAATATTAGAAGTTTACTTTAATTCCCCCATGCATATACGTGTGTTTGTGCTCAATTCCAGAAATCTGTGTGTGTTTCTGTGTCTGGCTGTCTAAGATTATCTCCAGAACCGGGCTCGGTATGAAATTTAAAATCAGAGGGTGTATTGCCAGTATATGCAGTGTTAGGTCTAAAATTGTTGGAATGAGCGGTTCTCGAAAAAGCAAAAAAAGCTTCAATTAAGCCCCATTTGTCTCATATAAAAGAGTTGGCCTGTGCGTGCATAGAACTAGCTGACCTTCAGGGGGCACACTGGTAAATAGGCCTGAATCCATCCGTCGATGGATCGTACGCGGAAGTTGTAAACCGCTAATACTTGTTGGCTTTCCTGACTTTAGGCCCCCCCCCCAAAAAAAAAGGTCGGTCTGGTCAGCGCGCGCGTCGATTTTAATCATGTGCGTCAATCTTTTTTTTCCCAAAATGTTCCGCGGTAGCTCTGTTAGCGCCCTTTTTTTCCGCACCTCCTCGGGTTTTTTTTTACCAAAGAGCACCAAGGAATGGGAAATTGCACCAAAGCAAATGATCGAGAGCACCAAGGCAAATTATGGAGGACACCAATGAAGATGAGGACACCAAAAAAGCAAAAAGTACCACCGTTTCTGTACAATCCAAGCTTGAAGAAAAAAAAAAAGTTGCGTCGCCGCGTCAATTCCGGAACTTTGGTCTGACCAGAGACTGAATATTTTTTTAATTTTTTTTATATATTCTTTTTATACAGAATGAAAAAAACAAAAAAAATATGTCAATGAATCTCTCTCTGCGGGGTGAAATGACTTGTTGATTCGAAAATTATACATCACTATAGACTCGATTTTGAGAGCATCTTGAGATTGCTTTTCAAAAGGGGAGGAAGAGTAAAAAACTAAACAATCTCACCCCAAAAAGTAAATCCGAAAAAGAGGTTCATATATACACCAAAAGCTATAAATACCGGTATAAAGCTAACCAAAAACAACGTTGCACGAACGTTCTGAAAACGTTACGGTAATGTTCCCAGAAAATAACGTTCTCTTGACGTTCTTTGAACGTTACAAAGAAACGTTGCGAAATAACATTTGTACAACCTTCAACAGACGTTGGCAACAAACGTTCTTTCAACGTTATAAAGAAACGTTACGTAATATTATTCGTACAACCTTCGGAGGACGTTGGCAAGATCAAAAAAGCTATTGTTTAAAGAGGTTGTGGAATGCTCAAAGACATTTCAGTCATTTTTCGGGTATATGTAGCCTATGGTGTGATGAAATAAAGACGACTTTTGTGTCTGTCATGAAATGAGTACAACAGGTACTTTTGAGAGCTGTTTTGACCTGTTTTGACCCGAACGTGCAATTTGTGTAAAAGTCGTCGTTGGGGGCAGCAAACAAAACATAGTAAACCGTGACGTAATAAACAGGACTCGTTTATGCTACGCTGCATCGGGAGTCCTGTTTATTACGTCACGATTTACTATGTATTGTCAAGTCGACTTGAAACAGAACTATACGGACTACAATATGGAAACAAATTTATGATTTTGGTGGCTTTTCAGAGGCCGCTTTTTTACGACCTCGATCCGCCATATATTGACGGCTGGCAGCATACAACTAACAAAATGCCTTTCAGCTCTATGTCGAACTTCCGATGAGCAATGGAGCTGGAGTTCCTCAAGCTATATTCCTATACAGTGTACTATAGTCTGGTTCCCAGACCTGACAATTATTCCCGACGCCCACGTCTTAAATTGTAGGTCAGGCAGCCTCCGTGGCTAAAAATAAACATGACGACATTAATGGCCCTTTTTTCAAAGCGCGGCTCCGTTTCCGATTTCGCTTTATCACTTGTAGCTTTTAGTGTTCTGATCAAATCTTTAAATAAATCAATTGTTTCGTAATATCATACAGCTATGATAATGCAGTTTGATGTTTTTGTAAGATAACATTCAGTAATGTTGATCTAGAATCTTCAAAATTAGGGAACCAAATAGCAATCTTAGCAGGCGGAGCCGAATGAAGCACCTAGTTTTGGAAAATCTCGGTAGGCCTAACGGTCGTCAAATTCAAAATTGTACATGACGCAGCAAAAAGTTCGCCCATACGATCCGAGTATATTTGATGCACAAAACGTCGTTGAATTTCAAGTTTTCTAAATGAAAACAATGAATATTAATTATCAACTCATTTAAAATGAAATTAATAAGCAATTAGCAGTTAATTAAACCTATATTATATACTCGGAAATACTCGGGTGCTATCCGATTGTCGACGAAACGA